GCTGAGAAATGAGCTCCAAGGTATCTTCTTCTCCTTTTGTAAGAGAGATGCCCGCCTTGGCGCCCTTGGACTGCTTGCTCAAGGCAACCTTGGCTCCCCAATCCGCGTCTTGATCACCCTTCAAACACATGAATTCCAGAGAAGAGATTGCACTGCGGATATCCCCTATCTCGCCCAGGCGTTTCAGCACTTGAGGTCCTGGCGTGCGCTTCCTCCCGGATTTGCGTGCTTCTTTCATCACGGTCAAATCCAGGGCTTTCGCGAGCAGGGTTGGCGCAACGGCATTGAACTCGATGACCCGTGTCCCAGGGTGCCGCAAGATCTCGGGGCCAAGCAGTCGGTGGGCAGTGAAGCTATCTGCCGAGGCTGATGTTGTGGTCAGTAGTGTCTCTGAGATGACCAAGACGACAGGCGTGATGGGCTCATTGGCAGATCGCCGCCCGTAATTTGAGAGCGAGGGCATGTTCGACGCCAAATACTCCACGAGGGTGTTTCGAAAGGAGGTCAAGGCTGTCGAAGACCTTGAAAAAGTGTTGGGAAACTCTTCCACGAGGATGATCTTCCCTGACAAGTCGGATTTCGTGCTTGCAGGACGTGGTGCCTCGGTCATCAGATCAGTATCCAGCTGGCCAAACTTCCCGCCTCTGCCCAGAAATTCCTGGAACTGCGCGGAAGCTGATGTGTACCCAAGATGTGCGCCAAGTGCACCAGTTGGATTCCTCCACTCCAGGAGCTCGTAGCCCATGTCCCTAGCCAGAAGTCGCATGGTGGTAGTCTTTCCCGAACCCGCAGCACCCTTGAGAATCAGAAGCCGCTGGCGCATCCGTCCGGCGAGGACATCTTCTAACCACTTCCTCACGTCCGAGACCTTCCTCTTGTGTACCGCCAGCTCGTCCAAATTTATAGGCCCAAAGCGTTCCGACCAAGGTCGCAAATCGTCGTCGAGAGCAGCCGGTTTATTCGGGCGCGGAGGCTTGAGAAACCTCTGGCTTGATGCCAGACCTGCTGATGACGAGACAGGAGTATTATCTCGAAAGCGTTTTCGTGCATTCTGCCCGACAATGCTAGAGGTGCTAGCTTTCTGCTCTGCAACATCATCGTCCTCGGATATCGGGTCGCTTATTATGTCGTCGATAGGTATCGTCCTCGACGAAGCAGCTGGCCTTGCACTGGATTTCGATGCCTGCTTGGAGAACAACGTCATGAGGTTTCCATTGCGGCCCTTCTCTTCCACCTTGACGCGCTTCGTTGGCTTGCCCTTGGCCTTCTCGGGGCTGGTACTCGGGCTCTTTGTGTTCTTATTTGCTGGACCATTGCGTGATTGGAGCATAGCTGGCGCCGCGGTGGTTCGACGCTTATCGGGTATACGACTTTGTGGTTTCGTTGGACTGGGAGATGCAGTCGTGCCTCGCGTATCTGATTTGGAGGGTGAGGAAAGGAGGAAATTCGTGAGCGTATTCGTCTTGGGTAGGTCTTCCTCATCGTCCGACTCGACGACGTTGCGCCTTCTTCGTTTGGCTGGCGGAGCCATTGGGCGAGATAGTGGTAAAGAAGCTCAACATGAGCGCATGTTCTCTGCAGGTTTGCAGGCCGACTGACGCGTCCGAGGGTTTCCCTTCGCAATTCGGGGATGTTGAGGGCGCGGGCAGGCTGTGAATAATCTGCAAGAAAGAATGACCAAGCATGCAACCTACCTCTCTGCCTACCTTTTGGTGGGCGGCTAAAGCACAGCTGCATCCTCGTCATTTCGGAGCCTCGCCAATCTGGATCTGGCCCCCACTTTGATGCACTTTACAGCGGGTGGACACTGACTTGTCGCTAACTCACCTGGTCTTGTCGGTACCTGGCGGGAGCCATGCCTGCCACCTTTAGTGGCAGGCTTACACCTCAAAGCTCATATCCGATGCTCTCACCTAGGCTTAGGATACGAAAAGCAAAAGGCAGACACGTTTCGGCGAATTCGATATGGCTAGAATGAGTATTATACATCACTCAAGCTTGCTTCCTGACCACCATCCTTCAACTGATGACAGAACTAGCTAATCTTTGGAAATATAATTATAGTGAGTGCGGAAGGCCTCAGGAACTGAGACCGGATGCCTCACTAAATGGAGCGAGACCTTCGCCTACGAACAATGAGGCTCCCACACGACGGCGTCAATCGAGGAGGAAAAGTAGATAGACACACAACAAGTCTGAGTTGAAAGATTTGACATATTGACAATTTCATTACACATTCAAAGTCATTTCCATGCTATATACCCACATGTTGTACAGTAGAGCTAGATTAAAGACAGTCCAAGCTAAGTGAATCCAGCTTGTTCCCAGTTATGTGCCACGCATCAGGACAATTTCGTTTCCCAAAGCATGTTTGCTTCAATAGTAACCTCCAGACTTCAGGTCAGCAGCTCCAAATTTCCACCCACGGAAGTTGTCGACAAATGTTAGAGCAGCCGCCAGGTACCGCTCGTGTACGTCACCCCAGGTCCTAGAAGCCTCTTTCATGGCGCGAATCGCTGAGAAGCTGTCAGTCCCTGCATACTAGAGCTTGAGCGTAGTGACAGTACTGACCTTTAACATAGTGGGCGTCGGTGGCCCATTGAGAGTTCAGAGCTTCGTGCTCAACATGCCCCCAGTGACGTTGCTTTAAATCCGTCTCTACATTGTCGGGGTCGATCTTTGGCCGCGACAGGGAAATATAAACACCGAGTACGAGCAACCACCACTCCCTTACTAAGCTTATGTGAAACTTGGCCGGAATGACCGGGAGGAGAATTCGGACGGCGTGGCTCGTTGTGAGGAGATGCACTGTGAAGAAGTTGTATCCGTGGGTGCCGCGGGGTATGGTTGCGACGAGAAGCGCAACCGCGAGCTCCTGTGACTCTTCGAACTGCTTCACCGGATCTGTGATGGTCCAGGCATTCCAGTATTCCAGGACAACGTCTTCATGCTTTGCAAACAAGACGTCGAGGTTGCCCAAGGATGGTTCCTTGAACAGTCCATCGAGTCGCTTGTCATCTGCGACCTTGTGAATCAGCTCGAACGTCGACTTTGAGCTGAATGGCGACGGCTTCGTGTATTTCTTTTCGTCGAGGTATTGGTGGAAGAAATTGTACTGCGTGGCAGCCAATGCTAGTGCCTCAATTGCGATCTCCTTGGAATTCATCTCGTAAGCGTATCCGAGGTGGATGAGGGGGTGGCCAACTACATGAGGGGTCAGCAAATGTACTTCGTCATTCCTCCATGCAATACGCACGACCACCAATAAGCCCATGGACCAGAGGCTCGTCGCCCGTGAACATGAACTCGTCGACGACCTTCTTCCACTCGTAGGAGTTATTCGCCAAAGAGTCCTCAAAGAAGTCGACATAAGCCCTCTGGTATGTCTTGTCGCCGAGGAGGTCTCTCCAGTCATCGTCGGTGACCTCGGCGGGAGACTCCTTCCATGGCTCGAGCTCCTTCGCTTCGGCTTCGTAGATATTCTGGAGCTGGCGGTCGTTCGCACCCAGCAGATACGCAGACGAAAGGACGTGTGCTGTGTGGTTGTCGAACTGGAGGTTGTGGTAGATTATGGAGTGGTTGACGTGGTTGGCCCTCAACAGGTGCTTGAGGCATCTCGCTCGCCGGTCGTGGTCAGTCTCGACATCGTGAACTTCGACAGGGGGGATGTTGATGGTTTGCGCCTTTTCGCCGTCTGAGACGAAGAGGTTGACGATTGGAACGTAAGAGAGAAGACTGGGCGCCATTTTTGCAAGTGAGACCTTCAAGAAGTTCCCATTGTTGGAGGAGGGAGAAGTATTGCGACAGAGCTGCAGATGCAAATTGCCGTTAAAGACATGGCGCGACCCTCCGAGAAGCGTTGGGAAAGTGACGTTTGATGGGTTTGACTGAGTGGGGCCATTGTATGCAGGGAAGTGCGGGCACGTCCTCTTTTTGCAGGGACCGTCCCACCTCGGCGCACTTTAAAGTGCCCACCGCGCCCACGCCCAAGCCGCTGGACACTGGCACCTTCAACTTCTCAACCCCGCCATTCCCGGGCGGCTGCCCCGCTAATTATCGGTCGTCCGGGAACGGAACGCCAGCAAAGGCATTCCTTCCGAGGGCCCTTTCCGGAGCTGCCTCTTCAGTATATCAATTTTCTCAGTGATCCTCCTGATACCTATTGAGACACAAGTTAGTCTCGTACAGAGCTGTTCAAACCTTGTTCTATAAGAATTGCTGAGCTTTAGAACCCTGCCTCAAAGCTCAACACAAGTATAGTGCTCTCGTCACTCGTCGTTGCCATCACCATCAAGAAGGAGGATAGAGCAACGTTCGTAAGTCCTAAGTCAGAAGCTACCATGGTGAGAGAATAAAACACACAGTTCACAATCTTCGTCTGAGATGACAGAAAGCCCTGTGACATCGCCAAGTGTGCTGCATGCCGGGCAATACACAGGGGGGGTGTAGCTGAAGGTAGCACGCGGCTGCCATCGTTCCATGTAGAGACACAGAGAGTCTTGCAAATGAAACCTATCGAGACAAGATAAATAATCACATATCCCTCATGGTCTAGGTAATTGGTTCTCACATGGTCGACCTCGACATGGTCTTCCTCCATATTTCATCCCAGTTTGTCAAAACAAAGGCTCGAGGTCATCCATGCTCTTGGGTGAACATGAACTGCACCATCCTCCAGACACGCATTCACGCTGTCCGGCGCTTACTGGTCATCTTCAGCTGCGATTCCCGGCTTATGTAACGCCGGCCGGGGAGCCATAGGTAGACCAGTCTACGCTGCGCGCATGAACGGTTGCAATTCTCGGTCAAACATGGGTGTCTGATTGGTATTCCGTTTTTACGGGGCTTATGTGAATTGGCCAATAGCGTGTACAGTTGTCACCGAAATCTACAACACCATGGCTCGCGATACATGGGATTGAAGAGCCTCAGCACGAGATGGTCTATAAACTATTGAGGATGTAGCAAAACCCCTCACAAAACTTAGAAACAACACATCCCGGGGATCACATTACAGCTGTCAAATCCTGCAATCCTTGCCAAACACTGGGTCTCTGAAATTACCCTTCTGCAAGACCTATCCAGTCACATCGACTTACATGACCGAAATGGAGGTTGGGAGTGATATCCACATCTTCTTGGGCACCTACCCGAGGAGGTCGGCAAACAGCCCAGCATCTTTCTATGTCACACCTAGGCTTGCTCGAGGCGGTCAAGAAGTCTTTTCAAATGAACAAAGGCCTCAAGAGACCTACTTCGAGGAGGCGACCTGGGCCCAGTACATTGGGGACACTTCCAGCTCTTCAGGACTCTCCTCAGATGACGGCCGAGTGTCCGAGATGTTCCCTACCTATCCAGCCTCCGTTGGCACCCGCTCCATTACGGACGACTCTTCCTCTGTTCACACCCCGGAACCTGTAACGCCCAACGATGAACCGGCTTCCATTCTATCCAGCTCCCCATCCTCTCTCGAGGTTCAACTACATGGTCAGGGATCCTACGGCGACCTTAGCCGGCTGCGTGGATACGACGACAAGTTGACTACGCCGCACTACGATCCAACTCAGAATCCTCCCAGATCTCTGACTCTTCAGGTCGATGCCCCTACACGCGTTACCAAGAAGTCAGCAGCCTCCAGACAACGGGTTGTCAAAGATGTCAGAAAGGTTAATCAAGTGAGAGGGACTGGAGCTTGCCTGAAATGCCGAATCCAGAAGGTACCCTGCTCGACTACTGATCCGTGTGGTACATGCACAACCTTCAGCAACAAGGAACAATCTGCTGAGGTCTGTTGTATCCGGGGAGATTTGAGCACCGTTGCCAAGGAGTGTTCCTCCAGGAGATGTGAGCCGTGGTACTTCCAGCTTGATATACTCAAACCTGACCTATTCTAGTCACTTGCTTGGCTCAAAAGGAAGACCGCGCTGTTAATGATACACTGAGACAAGCACGGCCTGAGTTCCGAGGGCCGGTCTTTCACGGGCAGATTCTCTTTGAGAAGGACTACAGTAAAGCTTCGATCCCTGCAGCCTTGAGGAATTACTATTGCACAGCACCTAATCACGGCGGTTGCACCTTTTCGAGAGATCATCCCAATCCCGCATTGTCGCAGGAACAGCTCGTCAAGTGGGCCGAACGCCAGGTTTTGCCAGAAGATCATAGGACATTCGAAGGTGGCATTGAATCGTTCATCAGACACTACTCCAAGCCTTCCCAATGCAGCCGCTACAGCGTTGTTAGTCATCGGCCCCAGGTATGAACTGAATGTTTGCATGAACGTCTCCTTACTATATGCAGGCGTCCGAGAGTGGCCACCTCTAACAGCTTCCAGATGCAGCTTTTGCAAAAGGTACATACCTTCAAGTCAATGTACAAAGTATATCGGACGCCAAATTTCTACTTCGCGCCATCGGACAATAGTCCAATTACCGAGCTGTCATTCTCAGCACAAGCTCAGATGAGAGGCGTCGCCAAGTCCGCTCTGGAAGCATCTGAACGAGATATTCTCGCCGAATTAGACAAGTATCTGAAGAACAAAATGGAGATCAACGACAGGCCAGCTGTCTGGGCTGCGTTGTGGCAAATGATGCTCATCTATCGAGACTTGCTCAAGAACATACGGTCATGGCATACCGCCAATAATGCCGAGTCTCTTCTTAATGCCATGGCGGTCTTCTACGGAAGTTCTTTTCGCACATCAGCAGCGTTAAGAATGACTCTGGATAAGACCAGTTACGGAGAGATTGCCAATTCATTTGAAAATGCCTTGAGCCTCCGCGATACCTTCTGTGAGCATACTCAGATTACCTGTCACCGTTGAGTCAACAAGTCTAATCTCCACCAGATCGACAGATTACTGCAGGCGTGAACGTTATTGATCAGCGTCTCAAGACTCTAGTTGTAGATCCAGAGATGAAGGTTCTCAAACGAAGGCAACCCAAAAAGTCGGTCGGTGGTAAACGCTCCGCTGCTGGAGAACAAGACGATGAAGACGATGTTATGGGAGGTTGTTGATAATGGCTTTAGTTTCTTTATCACCACCTATGGCTATCGGAATGCTGTCTTTACTGAAATTTGACTAGCGAGCGTAACACGATTGAAGTTTATGGACATTGAATCCACCTCGTCTAACAAGATTCCAATGCTCGGATGATTGTGATGCGAAGGTCTTCCCGTGCTTCAACTTTATCGACTGTCTCATGACGCAATCTCTGAGAAAGAATTTTCCATGGTGCTATGCAGTGATAGCCATTGTCCTTATCTTGCGCCATGGCCGAGAAGACTGCAGACATACCCTCTACTGTGCGGATCTTGTCAGCGCAGGAAATCAATCCACTAGCATGTTCGTGGCGAACAAACTCGAGGATCTGCCCTGCGATTGCTGCCGCAATCATGGCAGAAAAAGATGTTCCACTGAGCTTGAAAGGTTCATTAGATAAAGCAGGTATTGGTAGCTCGACATCTTCGCCGAGTACTGCAAAGTTGTGTTTTGCGTGCGGCGATGGCGAAGGGTTGAAGTCGCAATTTGCTCGGATACCAGCTGTCGTAGAAAACATACAGAATAGTTTCAGACTGGTGTAAAGACGGGCTGGAAAGGCAATATCCCTGATGTTGCCAAAGTTGGATGCTGCTGCAAAGATGAGAACTTTTGCATTGCGAGCATCATTGATGGCAAGCTCCAGATCTGTGTTTGCCGCGTCGAAACCCGAAGGCATAACGATGATGTCGGCTTTCCAGATAGTTCGAGCATGATCAATCGCCTTCTTCGTCAGCCACGAGCATTCGAAAGTTAGGCTTTACTCACCTGTGCCATTAGACTGGCTGTATTGTCGGAAGCATTTTGTCCCTCAAATACTCTTCCAACATAGATATCTGCGGACGTGTATATCCTTTTAATCAAGGCAACCGCGCAGGTCCCATGATTCGTGTTGTCCTGGTAATTGAACCCGTTGACCGAAATGAAGTCTTTGTAACTCGTGGTGAGGCTACTTAGTTCACTTCGAACTCCAGTGTCCAGTATTACAATCCTCGATGGCTGAGAACTAGAATTCTGGGATATAGGACTCCGAATAACTCGGTCGAATATGTCGAACTCTTCGAACCAATGATTTGATGACAAAGTACCGCTACATCACCAGCTGTTAGCTTCTACTTCATTATTTCATCGGCCAGGGCATCATACCTTGACATAGGACCGTAGGCGAGCGATGAAGGCAGAGAGGAAGCACTAGCTCGTTAGCTCCTTAAGACAATCGAACTCGGGAAAAACAACGAACCTGAGATGAGGTATGTTGGGATAACCTTGCGGTGAATCCCAATTGGCCTGACTGCTCGAAACAATGAGCCTTGCGCCATGCCGGTCATCAGATGCTCTGCCAAGAGACATCAGTGTTCGACTTGACGTAGGAGGATTCAGAATGACTGGATTTATGTCATCAAAGTCGGGATCTTTGAGCCAACAGTCATTGTAACAAGAATGGAGAACGTTGACGATGCGCTCCTCTATTGCGTGGCGGAGGCCCTCGTCATCATCTTCATATTCCCGAAAACTGTGTATGTCAAGACAACGCTCTACTACGTCTGCAAAGGGAGGAAAGAACTCGTTCTCCGCTCTCTTCTCTGCAAGTACTCTTGTTCCAACAATAAGATCCGTATTCGCGTGTGGTCTGCCGTCAATTTGCACATCACTGGGTAGTCTGAGGGTCTCTATACCAACACCGAGCCCTATTTCGAGAAGCATAGTGCCTAGAGCAAGAATCTTGGGGAAACGATGCGCCATCGCGGGGTTCTTTGGCATCGTGCGGCCGTTGAATTGTGTTGAGAGGAAAGGCTCATTGACGTAGATGCCAGCGAGTTTTGCCGCCCGCTCTTCGAACATGAAATGGACATCGCTCTTGGTCCATGGGTTACGCATCCAGTCGGACCCATATAGTTGCCAGAAAGACTGTGCTAGCACGTAAGATAGCAAGACTCTACGTGATAGATTCAGCTTTGCCCCATGACAGGTCACCAGGTCGTGGAGAGAGATGCTGGACTCGTGGAGAAGGAACCCATTAGAGAACTGCTGCATAGGCTGCATGAACAAACGTCCATCGCCTAGTGCTTCAAACCTCAACTGGCATTGGTTTCTGCATGTTATGAGTTGACAGAAGGTTTGCTTAGAAACCGCTATAGCATTTTGCACCTTGGGTGTAGAAGATGGATCATCCGCAAGTCTAGCTCCACTGCAAATAATGTCAACACATGGCGACTACGATCTTAAGTCAATAGTCAAGGCATTGCGCACCTGGTTCTCGGGATTAAAATTTGCACATCCTGCCATTGGGACAGGGTGAGATGGTCCTGTCGATGCGGGTGGTCCAAAAAGAAAAGTCGGAATTTCATAGCATCAGGGGGTTCGCCATGTGAGCCACACCGCCGAAGCTGAAGATTTGCCGTAATATGGCCCGCTGTATTGTCCTGAGAACACAGACATATAGGGGATAGCGTTCTGTGTAGCGCCCTGATGTACCCTTGACAGTCCCATCGTTGTTGCACCTTCAATTCCTTCCCGTCAGGCTTGACCTTGAGAAACTCGATCACCCGACTTGGTTGTTTTGATTTATGGATTCGGGCCAAACTTGAAAGGAACTTGTTTTGTCTTCGAAGGTTCTTGTACGCGGCCAAGTCGCACATAGCCTTGCGGAAGTCATGTCTGGCTTCCTCCCAATCTTGCAGGATCTTGTATTGGCTGAGATCGTCTGTTTCGACGGAAACCTGGAAACTCCTAGGGTACTAGAGCGCAAGTCTTCGTCAGTCCCTTGGGTGTTACGTAAATGGTTCAAGTCAAGCTCAGCACTATGAACTTACTCTGCCCAGTTTCTCTAGGATCGCTAAAAGCTTCAGAACGCGGTCGACGTTCTTTGGCTCCTCGAGTCCTCTCGCCTCCTTGAGCCACTCAGCCACGGAAACGAGCTCAGCACTCAAATTGCTCAGGAATGCTTTCGGAGCCTTGCTACCCTTTATGAGTTCTGAAACTGTATCGTAGACATTTCGCAGGCCGCGGTGTGCGAGTTGATTCGCATCGTATTCCGGTGTAGAGACCATTACTGCTATTGCGGTGAGTGGTGACTGCGATCATGACATGTTGAGAAAGTCGGGCAAGCGGTGACTAGACAAATGATCCCCCAAGGACCTCCTTCAAACCTCGTGATTTGAGGTGACCAAATTCTGATTGGTGCATGCATGTTCATTGGCGAATGAGGTGACTGTATGTTGTGCGGGCACAGGATAGATATCGAGGCTGACAATGACTAGCGAGGTCTGCAAATTTTCGAGACATGAGAGACGGAGGCTTCTTCGGGCTCTCGGAAATACACTAGGAACACTTAAGACGCTCTTCCCGAGGTATGTACAGGCGCCCCATGGCAGGGCGAGGCAAAGCGAGTAAATGAGTAGATATGACGAGAGTTCTGAAGCATATCTAGTACAGCCAGTTTCCCAACATAGACTTCCAGCACCTCAATCACCGGACGTTAGCAGACCATCATGGTTAAGAACAAAAACGTCGTCGTTAATGTTCACGAGGCATGGACGCATGTCAAGCCCTTCGTCTCGCAATGCTTGGGTGACCTCATCGCCAATGTCCCCTCCATTGTTCCGTCTTCCAAATGTCGCGCCACGTGAAAGTGTTTCAAATGACCACTTCCGATCAATAAAACCTTTGGATATTTTCGCTAAGCGAACTGCCCATACGAAGTCGGTCGATCTGTGTGTCGACGATAGCATGGCGTTGTCCTTTGAGCAGCCAACTTGAAAGCCCACTTCAGCGATTCCAAGTGGAGCCTCGCTATTCGTACGTAAGGTCAGTCCTGAGCCGATTTGCTGCTCAAGATAGGCTGTCTGGCAACTACTCACATCCCTGGCCCCCCAACTATCTTCTTGGTTGCAGTTTGAGAAACCCCGATAGAGGCGCCTCGCGCTATGGCAATCCCTGTAATCATGAACAGCGTCGATGTCTTCAGCCAACCTTGCTTCTTGAGATGGTCGAGAACTTCGGTTGTACCGACGCTTTCCTCGACGAAATTATTGGTTGGTTGAACAATGAACGTCTCGAGAGCCTCGAATTCCCAGTGTTTTCTGACACTCATCTCGAAAGCAAGCCCGGCATCCAGCTTAATCGTCACCCCGGCAGCCGCAGCGATGGGCGCGCCGGCTGTCGCGGAAACCTCTGCACCGCGGCCAGTGTGTATCTGCCAGTTTAGTCCCCACCCCTTGCTCGAGTGGATCGGCATGTTCGGCGGGATGTCGAGCGGCCCGTCCCGGTTGATGACATTGTCGAGATGTCGGAGGTCAGTTATCAGGTGTCCTAGACAAACCGGGCCTCGTGAAGGGCCGAATCCGTTCTTGGGGATTTCCGGTGGGGGATAGTGCGTCTGTGAGAGGACGAACCAACATTTCGACCCCATCCTGATCAAAGTGTACCGACATAGATTCACGCTCCCAGATCTTGGCCAAACTTTGAAATAGTATTACCAGGCAGGACCCTCCTCTCTGACTTTACGACTATTTGCCAAGAACAACAATGTGTTACACCATGCAGCCTCGAAGTCACGTTACAGGTCTATCAATCTCACGCTATTCGCTCAATTAGCGAGCAGCCTGATACGTCTCTCTGCCACTGAGCTGCCGGGCATGGACATCAGCTGCCTACTCTATCTTTAAGACAACATCTTTCTGACATTGTAGCTCTCGAGACTTGTTAGCAAAGCAAGAAAACACTGCCAAGTCATCGCCGAGATTGAGAGTCTTGCCTTCGCGTTCTCTTTATCATGACATCCGACCATAGCCCGTCCCCTTTCTCTCTCCACGATTCAGACATTCGTTGTCGTACAGTCTCATGTCGGGAATTATTCGCCAGCCGTCGTTCTTCAATACCAGATGTGTCAGACGTGGACTGGTTCGAATATCGCGAGGCCGAATTCAACCTCTGGTGTAAAGTAATGAAAGCGGACCAGATGGGCAAATCATCGCTAGAACATCGGGTCCGCGATCACGCCAATGTTCGTCAGTTGTATCAGGATCTGTTGGACGGCTTGTTTGAATCGCTCAGTGATCTCTTGAAATTGGGTGCGTCGATATACTTTGTAGGCAGCTTTCTTACTGATCTTGCTAGCTCGCTTGAAGCCATCAATGATTGCTGAATGTGCTGGTATGCGCGAGCATGGCGAGGCAGACGACGAAGCTAGCTCCTCCAGCGGCGATTCCGAAGATGGCAGTGAGATAGTTTGCCAACAGAACGACATAGATAAGCATGAAGTTGAGTACCACATGTTCTATGTCAAAGCCACAATAGCACGGCTCATCGACTTATCGACCAAAATTCGGCAATCTGGCAACAAGTATCGCTATCACAAGGCTGATGCATCACTCAAAGAAGGGGACTTCATTGAATACGTACAATCTTGGAAGAGCAGTATACTTGGCAGTAGCTTGGAAAAAGCGACTGCTGCCGTGCCTTACCAGACAGGAGCAATCGCCGACTTCCTTCACGAAAGTAGATTGACGACAGTACAACGACGCTTGATACGTGCAAACCTCCTTCGTCGGAATAGAATACAATTTATTCGGGAGTCTACCGAAGACCACGAGGCCACCATTGAGGCAAGTATTGCGGAAACGGCAATGGAGTTTGAACCGCAGCCTACACAACTGGAGACCGTGGATCGCGAGTTTGAGGCCGAGTCTCAGGCTTTACCCGACAACGACATGCCCGTCCAAGCAAGTTCTAAGATTGTCCCTTCGGCATCGCATACAGCCACGCACATAGGTTCGCAATTTGACCTATCAATCTTTCTCGAAGAGGAAACATCGCCGTCTGTTGTGACCCGGGCCACTCGGATAGGCGGTCGAGATGACTTAGAGTACCCGAAATGTCCCAAGCCATCCACCGTCAGCAGTCTCCTGACTTGTCCTTACTGCGCCAATGTACTGCCAGAGAAATGCCTCATGAGTCAGTCACTCTGGAGGTAAGTAAGACTCAAGTCTGGAAACCTTACGATTCCCGGAACTTCGCCATCGAAGTCCTGACTTTTTCCAGAAACCATGTAGCCAACGATATTCTACCCTACTCCTGTTACTACGAGAATTGCGCCATGCCCGATCTCATGTGGTCTAATTCTGACGAGCTGATGGAACATCTGAATGAATACCACTCTCAAGTCGAATGGACGTGCCCATGGTGTACTTCGGATCTCAACAGCAAACATCTCACTAATTTCAGCAGTGGGGAAGCTTGGGAAACGCACGCGATTGAACAACACCAAACCGTTGCAGCTTCCATCGACCTATCGTCTCTTTCTGAGATCTGTCAGCGAAGAACGCTGAAGCCTGTATCGTGTCCTTTGTGTACACATGGCAATGACCACACTCAGCTAGCCGACGACGATCATATCCTCTGGCATATACATGAGTTCGCGCTCAAATGTTTTCCATGGGAAGACACTACTGAAGAAGATGGTGACGACCAAAGCATGATTGATGTTGACTTGGAACTAGTCAAAGGAAGAACTGACGACTTAGTGCTCTCTTCCCTAGAAGACGGCAATGCATCATTGCTGGATAAGCCGATATGTCACTCCGACAGTTCAGACTCAGATGTGCCACATCTCCACACCGACAAGAGCATAAGACAAACGGAAAACGCAGCTGAGTCCACAATTCGAAGGACTGGTCCAGAAATCTTCGAGTTTCGCTATGGAGCTTGCCCTCCTACTGGAGCCGAACCAACCCCTTCATCCCCTAGTGGAAGACAACCTCCGTCTGTTTCTGGAGGTCAGCCTCCGTCCCCTCTATATCGAGGACAACAAAACTATCTTGAATCAGAGCTTGGGTTTGCCACGGAAATCAGGAGTTTCATAGACAACTTCTCAGGGAAACTACCAGTACCATCATTGCCAAATGTGAGCTCCTTTTCTAACGGGGCCTCTTGGTACAGGCATCCCCTATTCCGGTCATCGAGCCAAAACTCGGACAATTCGACAGCCAACCGGATCCGGACCGTCGGGCCTTGCATGAGATGCCGTATTCAAAGGATTCCATGTACTGCGGAGGGCGTTTGTGATCGGTGTGTCAAGGCCCATCCGCAGAAACCTGAGAGCTCCTGCTTTAGGGACGACTTGATCGTGATCGCAAACAACTTGGCCCATCTGCGCTGTGAGTTCACGACCATCATTAATGGAATACCTTCAGCGTGAATCTCCTCTAGTCCACAAGCTAATTCGCCTCAGTCAGTGGGCTAGACAGGAATGAGGAGATTGAGGTCAAGAAGTTTCTCAGAACCATCCGACCTCAATACTTAGAGGAAATCTTCAAGGGAGCAGTAGTCTTTACCCCTGGACCGCCCTTTCAGCTTCCCACCACATTGCGAAACTACCAATGTCTAGACGACATGTCTCGACAGATTCAGTCAGGTTGTATGTTTTCCAGAGAGCATGGTGGTGTTCCCTCATATCAGGACCTCGTCAGATGGACAGAGCAAATGATTCTGCCCGAGGACCGCGATACCTTCGAAGGGAGCATCGAAAACTTCATCAATATGTACTCCTCGCCTATGAGGTCGAGTTCATACATCAGACGGCCACAGGTATGGCGCAGCATATATTGAACTCTAGGTTGTTCCCAGTGCTGACTGTATTGCAGATACAACTCCTGGATCAGGTCCACAGCATGAAATGCATGTACAAGATCTGTTGTCAAGACGACTTCATTTTCATTCGCGAAGATACTGGAGCGGTGGAACGTCTTCCCTTGCCTGCCAAGGCAGAATTGAGAGTCATCGCCCGCATGGCTCTCGAGGCAGCCGAGAGAGATACCCTCAATGCACTCGACAACCTCAAAGCCGCTGCGACTAGAGTTCCCGAACAAGATTTGCCTGCTCTCTGGGCCACCTTGTGGCAGCTGATGTTCATCTACCGAGACCTCCTCAGGAACAGGGCACCGCGAGACAACGACGCGGGAGCTCTCCTCAACGCGGTGGCCATCTTTTACGCAGCCCACTTCAGGACTTCAGCCTCACTTGGCAAGCTGTCTTTGGACAGCCTGCAACGTCATTGGGGACCTGGCGAGACTCAGCAGGCGCAGCTGTCTGGTGCGTTTGACCATGCTCTGAGTCTTCGCGATACTCTCCGTAGGTCTACTACCCATGCTTTTTGAGTCTGCGAGCTGTCACTAATAGAATGGCGGCTAGACCGAACAATCGCAGCAGGTATTGACGAGATCGACCATCGCCTCAAGGCATTGGTTGTTGATCCCGAGATGAAAGTGCTGGGACGACGTACGAATAAGAAAACGAGCGGTGGCAAGTGACTTGCTGCACCGCTCAAGTGAAGTGTGAAAGTGAGACTGTGGAAGCCCGAGGGGCCCTGTCTTCTGATGACGTTATGAATACCCACGAAGATTATGATGTACGACACGAATGATTGATTCTCCTTTATTTCTCTCGATTATAGCGCACCTTTATGCTGGCCTTTTTCTTTAATATGTAGGATTGGCTGGTGCCTTGGTTCATGGGAGTTTTGCGTTCATACGATGCCAGGGACCTGGTCTCTGAAGTGCGATGGCGTTCAGCTGGTCTTTTGAATCTGACGTTTGGATTCCTCCCCTTCAAAGGCCTTGCTAGGAAACAAGCCAATAATCAATCCATTGGTCTGAAATAGAAATGATTCTCAATCCGAGAACCAGAAGCTTATTTCGTCCCATTTTAGCACGCGAAGCTATTCTCTTTCACAGTCTGGATGGCAAGTGACGTGGGCTCACGATCATTCGTCGACCCGGGATCTTGGAGCCCAGAAGTCAGCTTCATTGGCATCAGCGGGTTCCATTCTCAAGATAAGCCCCAACTTAGCTCTTATCTGGGTCCGAACCAGCGGGGTCAAGGAAGACCCTGGGTCTTATTATCCGAGCATTCAAACGTGACTCCCCGCGATGGTATGGCGGCCAAATCAAACGTCGGGGTCATATCTATGGGTCCCTTCCTTTTGCGCGGCAAACCCACACTCTGAGTCTCTAGCAATAGTTGACCGAGGAAACGCAGGCACCAAGACTAAACTGAAACGAACCTCACCTTAATGAGCTCCGCGCATAACTTGTTTCTCAACTACTAGTACCTTATCGAATCCTCTCATCAGATCAATCGCGTGTTGGGGTTGGCAACAATTCCTAATTGACCACCAAACCTAGCATTAACACAATGGCATCGTCAGACCATCCCTATCAGAAGCTTGACATTGACGAGCGAGTTAAGCGTGTTCTTCTCAGGACGCCGCTCATCGATGGCCACAATGACCTGCCTCAGCAACCGCGGGCATGCTTTCACGGCAAGATTCACAACAATCCGAAATTCGACTTCGCAAATGGATTTGAGAGGGGAATGACGGATATCCCCCGACTGAGAGAGGGTGAGTTGCTAGATCCTGTCTCGTTTTACCCCCGTAGATCTATATGACTTACACGACATAAAGGTGCCGTCGGAGGCCAATTCTGGTCTATTTGCGTCCCTTGTCTCAGGTCCGCGGAGAACTTTTCGACAGCAGAGTACTCGGACATGGCGCGCGACGCCATTGAGCAGATTGATATGACGCTTCGGCTTGTTGAGTCGTACCCGGAGACGTTTGAATTGGTGAATGGACCAAATGATGTGAAGAAGATTTACGAGTCTGGGAGGATAGCTTGCTCCATCGGTATTGAAGGGTGCGTGTTCAATTTGAGGAGTTGAGAGAGGCTCACGAGAGACTGACCAGATTGGTAGATTACACATGGCTGGCAACAGTATTGGTATTATCAGAGCATTTTACCGCCTGGGCGTCAGATATGTAAGTTGGAAATGCTTAGAGATGCTGGTAGTTTTGGTACTGATTTTGCTAGTGCACTTTCACTCATGTCTGCAACAATGCATTCGCCGATAGCTCAACATCCAAAGTCGGCGCTGTGCACGGCGGACTCTCTAAGCTGGGACGTGCTGCATTGATCGAGATGAACAGATTAGGTGAGCAAGACAGTTCGGTCAAACAAGCAGCCCGCTCACCAGCCCTTCGCAGGAATGATTGTAGACATCTCCCACGTCTCAGAAGACTGCGCCAAGCAAGTCCTCGAGCAGACCCGCGCACCAATCATGTTCTCCCACTCCAACGTCAAGGGCGTCTTTGACTGTCCCCGCAACGTCCCGGACCACATCCTAGACATGGTCCCAGCCAACGGTGGTATCGTGATGGTAACCTTTGTCCCGGAGCACGTCACTACACGTCGACGGGACGCCAAGATGGACATGGTTCTCGACCACTTGTTCTACATTGCCGAGCGTATCGGCTGGGATCACGTTGGTCTCGGCTCCGACTTTGACGGTATCGCATCTGTCATCCCCGGCTTGGAAGACGTCAAGTGCTACCCGAGACTCCTCAAGGCTATTCTTGATAGGGGCGCGACTGAGGAGCAGCTTGCTAAGGTCGCTGGTGAAAATATCTTGAGAGTGTGGCGTGGTGTTGAGAAGGTTAGGGATGAGATGAAGGCTGAAGGGGTCTTGCCGGTTGAGGATGTGTGGGAAGATCGGACTTGGTGGAGGTATGATGGGTACTACCAGATGCCGGATCCTGATCCTGAGGATAAGCTGGGCTTGGACTGGTATGGTGTTCCGCCTCCGGATGAGGGCTTGTATCTGGACGACAAATAGGACTAAAAACTATCCAATGAAATTTCATGAAATGATCCTCTTGAATTGAAAAATTGCATGATTACTGCTTCGCAAGTATACTGTACGGATGATGCGAGTAATCCATGTAAGGTTCACGGTTCATCATATCGCCCCAAATTCTGAGCTTATAATCCCACTGAAGCCGACTCCTGGTGACTGATACCTGATACTGTCTTGATACCTAGTTGGACTGTCTCGACGCCTCCGGAAAAAAAAAAAGGTCTATAAAATCGCAAACTACCCATTCTCGGAAGCACGGCTGGTCGCTGCAACATTATGCGCGGGGTAGCATCTGCACAAGTCATGGCCGCGGATGACTTCAACCGTGATAAGACTTTTCCGCGGGAAGCAATAACACCCCCCCAGTGGTGCCACCGGCTCTTATCTGCTGCGTCTCGGAGGCATACCGAATCATTAACAACATATCTGTAGATCCGGCACTCACGTCGCCGATGATCCTATATAGCTAGATGTTCTTTAGATTTAGATGCAGTCTGGCGACCTGCAGTGCAGCGGCCGAAACACCCTCTCTTCTCTCTCCCAAGATCCGACTCAGCGAACCATGAAGACGGAAATGACTCCCAAAGAGGAGCTCATGGCCTCCGAGCCAACAAAGCCCCTCGACCTCCTCGACGCAGCCGAAGGTGAAGTAATCGACCCGGAAGAGAGCTCCGCGCTCCTCCGACGCCTCGACTTTCGCCTCATGCCGCTCCTTTGCATCACCTACGCCCTGCAGTCCATCGACCGCACGACACTGAGCTACGCCGCCGTCTTTGGCATCCGCGAGGACATTGGCCTCACCGGTTCCGAGTTCTCCTGGGCCGGCGCGCTGCTGTACCTGGGCTACCTCTTCTGGGAGTTCCCTACAAACGTGCTGCTGCAGAAACTGCCCATAAACACCTTCATGTCGGCCACCGTGGTGTTGTGGGGCGCCGTGCTCATGTGCCACGCCGCGTCGCATAATTTTGCTGGGCTTGCGGCGACGCGGACATTTCTGGGTGCGTTCGAGGCTTCGATCAACCCGGGTACGATGTTGCTTTTCTCTATGTACTATTCGAGAAAGGAGCAACCTGTTCGTATGGGCATCTGGATCGGGTCTGCGGGTCTGGGGTACATCACGGCCGGTATCGTGACGTTCGGGATTGGGCATGTGCAGGGGTCTATCGCGAGCTGGCGGATTCTGTTTCTGTTTTGGGGCGCCATTACGGTGGCGTGGGGGATTCTCATGCTCATCTTTCTTCCTGGCTCGCCATTGACGACGAAGTTTCTATCAGAAAAGGAGAAAGCGATGGTTATTAGTCGCGTCAAGGCGAACGGTACGGGAGTCGAGAACAAGAAGTTCAAGTGGCCCCAGTTCAGGGAGGCCATGATGGACTTGAAGACATGGCTTCTGTTTTTGTTTGCTGTGGCGAGTAACACTCCCAATGGCGGATTGACGACGGTGAGTTGTGGTCAGATATTACCTTGGAGACTGTAAACTGACATAACGATAGTTCCAAGGTCTTGTAATCAGGGGCATGGGCTTCTCGACGCTTCAGACTACTCTCATCCAGATGCCTTCGGGAGCGGTCCAGCTCATTCTGTGTCCCCTGGCATGGTGAGCAAGCCGTAAATCTTCAGCTTCCTGATTCCCAGCTAACGTAACGCAGCTTCTTCGCTTCCTACTACCCAAACGCTCGCATAGCCATCATGCTTACCTGTCTCGCCCCCTTCCTTGCTGGTATCCTCGGCCTCTGGCTCATTGATCAATCCAACCCCTATGGCCGCCTCGCCTGTCTCTGGATCTCCTTCGCCTACACGGCGACCTGGACGCTGTCCATGTCTGTCGCCACGGCCAACACCGCGGGCCACACCAAGAAGATAACAACAAACGCAATGCTTCTGATCGGGTACTGTCTCGGGAACTTTGTCGGTCCCTTCTTCTTCAAGGCAGAGCAGGCGCCGCGGTACCCCCTGGGCGTCGCGATGATGATCTTCTGCGTTGGTATGCAGATCGCATGCCTGTGTGGCCTCTGGTGTCTGTTGTGGGTTAGAAATCGGTCTAGGAGGGCGGAACACGCGACGTCGGAGGAGAATGAGCAGCAGGCTTATGAGCGTGGGCTCCTGGACGAGACAGACTTGCAGAACAAGTACTTCAAGGTTCGTTGGCATCCCTTTGTTGAACCTGAGCCTTCACTAACATATTCTAGTACGTGTATTGATATCTGTGGCACCTCGAGAAACACGTGCTATGTAAGAGTCCCGCTCTCCCTATGAGAAAAACACTAGATTTGATGAAATAGACTGAGGTACAGTTATGAACGATCCCAACTCTCGCGAGTTTAGTAAAGTGACAACATCAGCTTAACATAAGTCGATAGTCCGTAAACAGTGATTTGATCCGATTGAGAGCTCGCCATGCATTACCCCCTGCACATAGCATTCACTCACTAGACGATATCTGTCATACCTCCCTGATAGAGCGAAGGTGGCTGAATCGTCAACGTCGCCATTGTTATTCCCCTGCTCACTGTTATTTTTCATTGGTCGTAAAACGAGCGGCATGAATCCTGAGCAGAGGATCCAGACCTCGTCTCCCTCTTTCGTGTCGTGTGTTCCGACGCCAAAGCGACCTCCACACGTGAGAAAGATGTTCATGACTCTGGATTGCAGCCACATTAGCATCGTTACTTTCTTCTTCATGCCAAACTCTTCGGGCGCTGATAGATCGAGCAGATACTCCCTAGCTTTCTCCATGCCATTCCACATCTCAGAAAACTCTGCGATGGCTGCTTTTGTAAACAATGGCCTATCCAGCCTTCGGAACTCACTGAAAGCATCTTCTTCCACGTGCCGTTTCCATGTCTTGATGAGATTTCGGAGGGTGTAAGAATAATCAAAGCGGTGGCCAGGGCCCGAGGAGACTTCGGCTGGTGACATGATTGTTCTCACAAGCGTACCGACGAAATATCCACGTAGTCTGAGGCGCCGCCCGTCGCGCGAAACGAGGTCTTGATAGTGTAGTTTAGGAACGCCGCGTGAGGCATTGAATTGGAAGCTTAAGCCGATAATCTGGATAAATGGACGTGACTTTCTGTGTTGTGCCGCCTCTTGGCGACGCCAATCCAGAACCCAAGATGGTTCTTCCAACGGCATCTCGCTCTGCCGGCGTCCCATGAGTGGGAGTAATGACCGACAAGATTGGATAAGATCCACCGTGACGCGGCTGTATACCTCAACGCAGTCAATATTGTAGTTACTTGAATTCGTGTTCGTTAAAGCTGCTGTAATGAACGGTAGTAGAGCGAAGATCTTGTCGCGTGGGTCTAAAGCTTGGTGGTCGCAGGTCATCCAAAGGAAGCTAAGACTAGCTACACCACCCATCGTTGTCTGTGGCCTTGATTTGGATAGTGTTCTCGCCATCGAGAGTAGTTGTGCTGTTGACAATAGCGTGAACATTGCCTCGGCATTACCCTTGTAACTGTAAGTTGTCCATTCACGTCCTGCTGGTTTCACGTTCCAAAAGTTTTCACGGAACTTTATCAGAGACGACCGAGAGATCGTGAGGGGGCCCCAGAGAAACATTGCCGTGTGAGGAGCGACGCACTCTTGGACTGTCCATATTCGCCGCCACCACTGACATTTGGCCAGGCTTCGAAAGGTGAGATCAATTTTCATCAACCCTTCAGCCGTCGAAAAGCCGTTGTCTTCCCTTTCCAAGTCTGTATCGTCGAAGAATTCGATGTAGTTCAAGCCGTAGCGAGCAATGTCTAAGCTCAGTTCCCCGTCGAGGAGGTCAACCTCACCCAACCAGAGAAAGCAATTATTGCATTTGCTGTAGATATCGAACATCATGTCGACCTGCACGCGCTTCTCTTCGTGATCGTCCTGATTGATGCATAACGCGTCGGCCCACACAGCAAGGTATTCTTGCTCGGATCTGATGCGCCATAGGACCGAGAACAGCGATGTCGTGATTTTGAAGTCTTTCCCGTCCACTGTGATGACCTTTGTATCCGAGGCATCGCCCCAAACGTATGATATACACTGATAATCAGGCCCGTCGTCGAGAGTAGCCACACTGAATACCCCTTGGATCGGACTCTCTTGTGTCCCTGGCCAGAGGGTGAACAGTCGTACTTGTCTTGCTGGGTCCTGGAGGAGCGGGCGCGCACCCGGTTCGTTTTTGTCTATAGGTCACGCAAAAAGTTAGCCAATGTGCCATGTAGAAAAGGGTTTAACTCATATTACCTAGGTGATGGATAGCATCCTGAACCCCGGATAGAGAGAGCTGGCCCGGATCCGCCATGATGTCCAAATCATCTGCTTCTCGCGAGATGTGTGAAGGCTGGAGATTTGGTTGCTCTACACAAGTGAGGGGGGACTATCTAAGGTAGGGTACCTGCTAGGCAGCAGGTGTGGTGAAATGGTACTGCCCAGTCATGTTCTTCATTTCAGATATTATTGCCACTGCTCATTGGCCCTCTTCGCGCCGTTGAGTTGGAGGGCGCTTCGCCGTCAGTTACATGGAATCGCAAGGCTGTGCCGAACCTCTGCATACGGCCGCGGAGCGGGTCGCGGTGGAAGTGGACACCTCGGCTTCCCCGTCTTGTCCGGCACCACCACAACCGGCACCGGAACCAGCACGGACGGCGGTCGCCGCGCTTCCCACCCCATCCCTCCGCATCCTCCCATTATGACATCGCCGTCCATGTCAAACACCCAGCTACTGCGCATTTCCACGTTCAGTATGTCTATCATGATCACATCCCCGTCTGCATCAATCCACCACGGCGGCACGGGCGGCACTACTGCCACCGCCCTCGGTCGTGGTTTTGGGTGTACTGGTCTACTCTGTACTACCGCTGTGGGCGGTGGAGGGCGAGGTTCGGGCAGTCTTTCAGTTGAAGCTTTGGGGTGAGGTTTGGTTTCGATTTGGTGGCGGAGCAGTTCCGTCCTGAGAGAGGGGTTGTGTACCATTGATTATGCCGCAGATAGAAGAGAAATCTGTGCATCGTTGAGGAGTCTTTGCGATAACTGAGATGCCTGCTCTTAAGGGAGTGAAAATCTTTCTGGCAGCCTTGGTGAATGGAACAGACGCTCGACGCCGATACATATCATCAAAAACAACCCGGCCTTGACTTGAATGAGAATGTTGGGGGTTGAGGTTAAAAGGTGCACTGAATCACTGGTAACAAAGGAACGAGTTCATGAACAGCTGCTCCAAATGCTTGGAACATTTCTCAAAGGAAGGAAACATAGAACTCGACCAGAAACACTTGTATTTATGGCACTCTTCTTTATGACTGCAACCAAGTTGACTGGGCTGTGTGGCCAAAATGATTGCGTGCTACTGCCAGCCAGGCGTACGGCACCACTACAACCGCCGGCGTTACACAGATAACGTAGAAGCCATTGTGAAATCACTAGCATTTAATCAGGAGAAAAACCAGGGCTGATCAACAAAATTAGAATGGGTGGTTAAGTCAAGACAATTGGGCTCTCCTCAGAAAGAGCAGATGTTTCGTTAACCCCCTTTTACTGCACCAGCCTAGAAACGAAACGTCATGGCCACATACGGAGAAGTCATCATGCTCAGAGATCATAAGTAGAAGTCCCATCATCGACGTGATATAAACGGTGCCATTAGCAAGGCCTTAAATGGGAGCGATATCAGTTGCCAGGAGCGAGGTGAAGTCAACGGCCAAGTTGAGGGGGGTATCTTTCATAAGATTCATCGACTCGTCAAAAACAACCCAAAACAACGGACAAACAACACTATTAACTACTACTTCATTTCCACAATCTTGACCGAAACCTTCTTGTCCGGCTTCGTCCCGTCCTTGCGCTTCTTGCCAACATTCGCCAACCGACCCATGACATCCGCAGGATCGATGCCGACTGCCGCGCCGGGTGCAACGTGGACGGTCAAATCGATGCTCGCCCTCTTTTTCTCGGGGTCCGACGTCTGCGTAGCTTCGAATCTATGTGATAATGTCAGTATTGTTCCACTTATTAGTCGATGGCTCTCGACATGCTCCAATATCGAGGAAGGAGGGGTCGTAACACACATACCTCAAAGTCGACTCAAGCTCCTCGACACTGGTAGGCCACGCCGGCACAAGATCAACCATGACAGCCGCCACAGCACCAAGATACTCTGCCCAAAACACGCTCTCCAGCTTCGCCTCCGCGACGAGACCCCTCAGGTTCCCGTACAGCTGCGCATCAATCGGGCCCAAGTTCGACCCCCACCGCGCGCACACCGTCAGGCCAAGCACCGCTCTCGCGAGGTGCGTCAGCCCAGGCGCGCTAGGGTCCCGCGTAACAGCCTCGTGGAGCGCATACGACGCATTCGCATCGTCGTCCTCGCCCTGGTGAATCCAAACCTGCCTCGCAAAAAGCGGTCCCAGGCCCAGCGAGAAGACCGTCGGCGTCCGCGATACGTCAACATTCTTCGGCACGGCGCCGTATAGCGTCCTCAGGATTGCCTGCGCAACAGCCAAGTCCCCACCACTACCTGCGCCCCCGCTCTCCTCGTGGCCCTGGATCGGAAAGCCGGCGAGCGCCTCGAGCGGGTTGCTCTCCCGCACGCTCTTGGGCAGCTTCATCAGCAGCGCGCCGTCGCGGTTGGAGCCGCCGCAGAAGGTGACGGTGCGCAGGTGCGGTACCGTGCGGATGAAGGCCTCGACGACCTCGATGATGGCGGGGAACTGCTGCCGCCTGCGCTTCGACATGCCGTAGATTTTCCCCTCGTGCTCGCGGTTGACACGCCGCATCTTGTCCGTCTGCTTGAAGAAGTCGCCCGTGACGGTGTAGGTGCCCACCGAGGGGATCGGGTACGGCTGGATCGGGTCGTTGTGCTGGAGCATGCAGCCGTAGCCGCGGAAGCCGCCGCCGCAGAGGTAGGCGTCAATGCCGCCGAGTACCACGCTGCTGCCGTTCGTGGTGGCGGCGGTGGTGGTGGAGGAGGAGTGGGCGGCCTCGTGATCCGCCTTTGCTTGCGCGAGCGCGGGGAACTTGTCGCACAACTTTGCAAAGGCGCCCTGCATGCTCGCGTTGAGTTTCTGCTTCTCCTGGATGCGTACTTCCTCCGACTGCCCCTCGAGGATGCGAATCAGCCTCGCGGCGCCGAACGGCATGCTCTCACCCGCCTTGGCGGCGGCGACCTCGTAGTCTGGTAGCCGCGTGTCGACCCAGGTCATCTGCACGGAGCCACCGCCGAGGTCAAGGAACAGGCCGCCGCGGGCAACGTCGACGAAGGCAGACCGCGATCCCATGACGGCGCCGAAGAGAGTCTCGACCTCGGGGGCCAAGACATGGACGCCAATGTCGGCGGCCTCGCGGATGGCTGTCAGCATGTCGCGGGCGTTTGCGGCGCGGCGCATGGCCTCCGTGGCGAGTACGGAGAAGTGGGCGGGCGGAACGCCATAGGAGACGGCGATGCGACGGAAGCGGGCTAGGGTCTTTGCGACCTGGGTGATTGTTTCCGGGGGGAAGGTGAGGGGCTCAGAGGCGGCGGTGGAGGCGGAGTTGAGGGCGTCAAAGAGGGAGATGCCGGCGCGTTCGCGGTAGATGGGCCGGAGGAGGCGGGTTTGTGGAGGAGTGAGGTCCGAGATGGAGAAGCGGATGCCGTTGCTATTTGGTGGGGCCGGTGGCTCGGGTCAGTATTTGAGACCGGTGTTTTGTTCTTGTCATGGTGCATTTATTTTTAGGAGAAGCGGGAACTAAAGACGTGGTCCGGCTGACGTTGCCCGCCGCCATGGTGTGTCAATGAGAAAGAGATGTGTGCTCCTTGAGAATTGAGGCTCAAAAGCACAGGCAGAGACAGACAAGACAGGCTTTCCCCAGATTTTGCTCATCGGCGAGGCAATCCTGGAGGGCGATCCGGCAGAAACAGAAGGAAAAAGAAATTCTCGACATAAACGAATCTGTGCGGATAGTTGCACCGAAGAGGGAAACAAAAAAGCTTAGGTACTGACCTGCCCATATCAACAATCGCATATAGGTGATTGGAGCCTGCGGGGTCCCATCTTGGCAGCAGCTCCTCAAAGTTGTCAAGCGTGATGATGTCAGCGCTGGTAGCCATGGCCGGCAGCGGGAGGCGCGAAGCCGATAGTCTTTTGATCGGAGGGGAGGGGGAGGGGGAGGGGGAGGGGAGCTGGGGGCGGAAAAGGGTAGAGTGAGTGAGGTAAGGTAACGTAGAGTAAGAGAAAAGAGAGCGGATGGTTGGGTGGTATCTTTGCTCAAAGTAGGCGCTGTGCAGAGGGATTTCCGCGGATGTCGGCAACCAAAATTTGCCTTTATTGCTTTTTTTCTTCTCGGTACGAAAGGTGTGTGTACGGAGTACAGAGTATGTATCAGAAAGGATTCGAACGCTCTTTTCTCGGTTCTTGTCTGTGGGGGGGAGAGAGAGGAGTGCCGAGCCGGGGCGAGAAGGATTATATAATGTAGCAGGTAGGTAAGTTTGCAAAAGTACCAAAAGATGCGAACGGCTGGCTGAGTGACGGAAGGCGAGACACGGAGAGACAGAGAGCTGAGAGTGGTTCAGTGTGTCCGTACGGTAAGGTAGGTCGTCAGTCTGCTGGAATTCGGGGAGAGTGAGGTGAGGATGAGTGAGTATTAAGAGTGAAGGTGAGAGTGACTGAGTGAGAGAAAGGATTGGAAGAGGAGAGAGGCGCATGTGAGGGGGGGGGGGGGGGGAAGGGGGGGAAGGGGGGGGGGGGAGGGGGGGGGGGGTGGGAGAGGAGGGGGGGGGGGGGGGGGGGGGGGGGGGGGGGAGGGGGGGGGGGGGGGGGGGGGGGGGGGGGGGGGGGGGGGGGGGGGGGAACGACGGGGAAGGCAGCGATGAAAACGGAGCGTGTTGCGCGTGTGGATTTATTGCCATGGGCAGCGGCACATTTCTCTCACTTCCCGTCTCTCACTCTCTCATTCAGTGAGGTGAGTGAGTGAGTGGCATGCGTTTTGGAATTGGAGCCCCGGAAACCTGGAAAACCTCAGCTGCGAGTCTGACCAGAAGACGCAGCCTGTGTCTCTAGACTAACCTACTGTGTAGTAATGCGTAATATTCATACCTGGTCCGTATCATGCAGCTCACGACAGCTACTTACAGTGCTACGTTAGTTTGAGGCGGCCACGTGAAGATGAGCAACGCAAGGGGACGATCCAGAAAGCAACTTCACTCACTTTGTGCCTTCACAGAAGCAAGCAGCAAAAAAAAAAAAAAAGCCCGCAAGGATCCATGGATCTCCTTGAGATGGATACCAAGCTCTGGGTCTACACGGAGCTAGCAACGCTGAGCCTACATCCGCGAGAAGACCCCCCTGGGCACGCTGCGCAACTAATACACAGTAGTAGGAACCATTTCGTCCCATTTTGACTTCACCCCTCATCTTTCTCCCCCTCCCCCACCTGCCTCATCCATCTCACGACATATCCTCAACCAGGTTTACGCAAAATACGAACCAACAATCAACGCAACTGGAACGAAGTCATGTTTTCTTTCACTAATGGCCCAATTCGTGCTCCTCCATCATGATATTTCACACATCTAGAACGGTCCTGGCCCCAGAGCCGAGAAGCGTCAGGCGGGTCACGTAGTCGCGTGACGGCGGGGGTTACCACTGCCTTGACTGACATGACGGGGGTCTGGAGCACTGGGCTACGCAAGAGGGACGCACCTCTACTGCAGTTGGATGCATCGCTTCATGCGGGTCAGCAGCCGTGGTCGCCGCTTGCCTGCCGTTTCCTTGCCTGTCTTTTTCACCTGTCAGTCATTGACGGCTCGCTTGACGAACGTCGAACGAGGGGTAATAGGTGATGTGAGGTCGCGTGGCGGGGTCCCTCGCGAATAATTGGCACGGGGGCGGCTTGTCTGCTCTGCTTCATACCATGGCAAGTATGGTTACACAAACATTGCCGTGTCCCTTCACACGAGTCAATGAGTGAACTGAACAAGCCAATACGTTTGCCTGGACAACCTGAACTCTAGCAGCCGTCTTTTCCCTCTCCCTTTTCAAGCAGACCCTGCTCATGCTATCTAGCAGTCGACATTTATCCTTACCGTACTATGCAATCATCGGCATGAGAAGGACAAGTATTTGACCGAAATGAGGGGTTCAAACCCGGACCCGAAGCGACTCGTCGTTTGCAGTTTGGATGCACCGGACGGAAAATCGAGATGGCTCGGCCAACGTCGGGTTGAAAAAAAAAAAAAAAGCCTGGGTAGGTGAAGCTCACCACACTAAAGCCGGATATGCAGGTGAACCAACACCTAATGATGCCATCCAACCATTGATCAAACTTGACAATAACGACCTCTTGACAACTTACAAAAGCAGTCGTTCGCCGAATATTAATGAAGAGCTGTAAGGACCATATGATATCGGGCTGCGAGAAGGAACCAACGGCGTGATTTGAGACGAAGAACATCACAGTGTAGCGGGCTTGTAGACATGTGCACACACATCCCAAGACGACATCTGACATGAGACTGATATGATATCCCTTGCATTGTAGATGGGGTAAATGACAGAAACGCCCGTAGACCACCACTATCCATAAGCGTCCAGACATCTTTGTTTAGATGTTCGCGAGCTGCCGCCATATTGTTTGTTAAAATCCTCGTTTCCATTGGTCCCCTTCACGTCCCGCCAAAACGCACTTAGCATTAATGCTTTCCCCTCCCTTGTCCGTCAACACCTCACGGCCATACCGTCGCCCTCATGGCGTACGCGTTCTCGTGCCGTCCGTACAGCGTGGTATACTCGTCCTTCCACGAAATCGTCTCGCCAGGCTCAAGCGGCACGCCAATGGGACCCTGCCCAAAGGCGTACGACCGCCGCAGCGCAAGGTTCCACGCGAAGCTGCTCGCGCTGACGCCCGCCACCATGCCGGCGCGCAGCATGATCTCGTAGTCGACCAGTCCACGCTGGTCCCACGTCAGCGCCTCCAGCGCCTCCTGCTCCTCGTCGTCTAAGATATCCGTCTTGGTGACGACCGTGACGTTGAAGTCCTCGGCACGGTTGACAAACGCCGTGATGTTGGTCTCGGTGGCGCCCGAGGCCAGGAACGCGACGCTCGACTCCGACTCGGAGAGGTAGTGCAGGTAGTTGGCTGCCTGCGTCGTGTAGTCTGGGAACCTCTCGTTGACGTCCTCTTCGGTGCGTAGATGGACGCCCACGAAGCTCGACGGGTGGTACCGCGTCCGCGGGTCGAGATTAAGTTGGAAGCGGGACTCGAGGCTGAAGAGCGCCGAGGCCGCGAGGCACCGGGCATCCGGGCGGATGCGAAGCATGCGTCCGAACGAAGAGGCCACGGGCGCTTTGTCACGTGCCGTCGGCCACGTCCACAGGGTATGTTTGAGATGGGTGCGGAAGGGGTATACCCTTTCTGCGGGGGGTGACTTCTCGTTGATGAAGTCGTGGAATTGCTTGTTCCAGTCCGAGGGCTCGGCTAGGACGGTGCCGTTGACCCAGTTGCTGTTCGTATCCGCGATACTAAACTGGAGGGCCTCGAAAACTTCCGGCACGTCGTACAGGTCGTTCATCGACCCGTGTACTCTCATCTGAGGACAATACGTCTGGAGAACGTGGTTGAGGTGGGCTGCGTCGAAGTAGTAGTCGAGAGGCACGGCGGGCCGTCCATTAATGTTCTTGATGTCGTCTTCTGAACGAGGTATGATCTCGGGTAGGATCAACTCCGCTGGCATCGATTAGTTTGAAATCATCATCCAGAAACCCGCATTCTATCCAAGGGACATGCTTACCTCCTGCCTCGATCGCAAAGCGAATGCAGTGCAAGTGGGCATTCCGCACTTCACCAATCCCTCCTGGTGCTGCATCGCAGCCCATCATCAATCCCTTTGTCCATTTCTTGCTGGCACACAGGCCTTGGATAGCCGCGCCGTCAAAGCGTCCGTCAACTTCGTGCTCAAGGAAATCTTTGATGAATAGCTCCCTTTGATTGCGGAACTTGCGGGTGATTGTCTGTACATGCTGCCGTGATATTCCCAAGTACCATACTGACCAGAGAATAAGGAGCATCGGCCCCACGAGCTTCATGAGCTGGGATAAAGATGTCGAGCCGAGCATGATGGGCTAATCGATGCAGTTGGAGCTGCTGCCGTGATGAGAAGAGTTGAGGAAACCATCTCGCTGATGAAGAGGCGGAAGAGGCGACTCTCTCAAAGGAAAGACGCCCAGCCAGCTATCGAGGGCGAAACGAGTGGAATGGAAAGCTTCGCGCCTGGCTGAACGAGCCAGAAATGTGGCGTTTCTCAGTCGTTCTCGGAATGGCATGGCGTTGATCGACAGCTATTAAAGGGATAGAATTGGCGATAGCGCGCTCGACAGGCTGCTAGTCCGAGATGCCATCTTTACCGACGTTCTTCAGCAGTCTCGCAATGCCCCTGGATCTTCTGTCCCTTTCTGAGCGTCATGGTATTTTGTAAGATGCCGAATAAGTGAGAACTCTGGCAATCGCAGGTTGCAGAGAGGTACTGATTCGACATGTCCTTTATCGAGCGATGAACACAGAGTATCGTGGGATTCGCGTTCGGCGCACGCTAACAGGAACATGCGACGAGAAACGCTATTTCTCTGTGGCGGTAGTGAGGTCTGTAGTCGAGTTTAAGTGAATAATGGCTGCCGCCTGACCAGCTTTGAGGCTGAAATAGAATAGGCCGCGAACTTTCATGGCTTAGTTTTCCTACTGCCGCTGATCTCAAGTGTTGCCCCTTGTCGGTTCGTCTCACGACCAGGAATCACTACCTACATAGTCTTGAGGGTCAATGAGACAGCCTGGCGACTTAGTCGTACCTGTTTCATCATCACGGGCACCGAAGCGTGATTTCGGATGGCAGATAGTAGTGAAGACACGGCCCAGGCACAACCCGTTGTGCATTGGTGGCCAAGCTTACACTGAATGTTTCCGTCTGATCACGTCGTTGAATTATCGCAATGCTCGCGACGTCGGCCTAGACCAGGGGATTTGGCGCACCACAACACAGCATCCCCGGGTTCGTGCTGCTTGGATCTCGCAGCGGACAACCGAACCGGTGCCACGCAGAGTGCCAAGACTGTCTGGTAGACTATGTTTTGATTGGGCCAGCGCAAAGTCCAAGGTCTTCTAGCCTCTAGGTTTGACGTTGCACCGAAGCCGTTGACAGTTGTTCAGTTCCCTCTGGGGTCGCCGTTTCGTTTGACTCGGACGGTTTGATCGTCTGGACGGGAACGACTTTAGCCTGACCTTTTCTGTGCATGCCGCGGTACACCACCTACTGCACACAGAACTCGGATGAAAGTCAAGATTTTGAGCCGCGGTGAACTTGAATACTGGTGATCAAGGTATATGAACTCATCTTGTCTTGCCGTAGTGTCTTCGAAAGCCAATGTCCCCAGACATAGGACGAGAGAGAAAACATGGACACTGCATGAAAAGCCCGCCGTTCTTGCAATAACGCACCTCTGCGGATCCCGAAGCGTTCAGCTGCAGCGTCGCAGTAGACTCGCTGATCCCGGGGCGGGCCTCCTGTCATTTCTCCGGCCAGAGATTGGTGGCCCATGGTTTTGAGCTCATGAAGGGTGCAGAGCCCATGATACTCGGCGCACTAGAAGAAGCCTTGCTTGCAGTTGACCATGCCCTGCCCATAGGTATGTATGATAAGAGTGTTGGAGAGTATCGACCAGGCCATAGATACCCGTGCTGATACTCTTGCCGCCCCTAAGAACCTTACCTAGACGGGCTCACCGCATCCCAAACCCCATCGTCGTGCAGGGCCAGGCAGGCATTCGCAGCTGTCGAACGCGCCATGTTGTGCTTCGATTGGCTCGAGGGCCAAGTGTAGCGATTGCAAGCTTTAGGGGCAGAAGTATAGCAGCACAGTACAACAAAACACAACACACAACGCGACGCAGCATACGGTGATGCTATTCGTGTGTTTCGCGCCAGCCGCGGGACTTGTTCGTATCATCCATCAGTGGCCACCCCTACCCAGCATCGTACATGGATTTGGGTACAATAGACTTGGGAGAGAGCCTGTTCCCCAGCCTCTGCTTCTATGCCGGCGCCGTTGTAAGAGTGTGTGCAAGCTGATGTTAGTCTCGGCCAGGATTCATTTGCCTCAGGTATCTGTAATCGTCCGTCGTATTGCAGCTTGGACATTGGTGAAAAAGTCATGGAATGAAAAGTCTTTCCCGAGTAGCTCCCAGCTAACGATTGCCCCTGGCACAAAGGATGGGAGTCAGAGCCGACGGCGAAGAGCGACGGAGTACGGAGGAGAGATCGGGCCCCTTATTCATGATTCAGTCAATGGGTCAAGAGTTGGCGGTAGTTGTTGGCCCTTGGAAAGTTGTAATTAGGTAGCATGGAAGTGAGCAAAGTTGGGAACTCTCGTCTGTTCGTGTTCTGTTCCCCGCTCCTCCCGCACAGCCGCTTTCTGCTCGGTGATCCTGGCATCGCATCTTCATGCACTTTGTGGTGCGGCAGGTCCAGACTCTGGGACTTCAGCTGGCAGATTCCCGTTCATGGATGATGGAGCAAGGAAAGACCGATCGGGGGGAGGAACAGACGAGGAGGTGCCTTCTCCTTCCAGGTGGTGGTGGACCAAGAGGCAAGTGCCAACCATAACTGCCAAGAGCACATCGAGCAGGCCCAGCAGATGGTGCCCTGGTGGGTCTGACTGGCCAATGAAAATTCATACATACCAGGCGAGTATCCACTTTAGCGAGTGAGTTGACCCACTCAACGCGAAAAGACGCGTTTAGCCGCGTCTTGAACGCGTCGCTTCCGCACTTCACAAGTTCACATCTGGGCCGTCGACCATCGGCCATCGGATGTCTGATTTTTTTCCTCCCCTTCCTCTCAGCACTCCAAGTCGTGAAAGTTCCCACAGCTCTCGCACGGATCGCACTCAAATCAGTTTCATCCGTCGTCTCTTTTTTCTTGGAACACTCCACGCACTCCTCGCCCCCACCCATGCGCCGCCGCTTCTCTCTCTCTCTCAACTTGGGTTGGACGGACGTCACCGCCCACAATTGTCAATTTGTGATGCCAATGAGTCGCTTCCCGCCCGTCACACTCACCTTGATTTTCACCGGCCAAATCCAACGCTTTACCTCGTGCTCACCTACTATCCGTACGCCGTACTCAAACTCCTAATTACCGGCTCAACCAAGGTTGACAGCCCATCTAAGAATATTACTTCAACAACACGACCAGGCCGTGTGTTCGCTCACTTATCCGACTTTCGTCACGTCTTACACTCTCCTCCGTCATCGTTGCCACATTCGAGCCAACTAGCACTCTTTTGAGGACGCTTTCTCGTTCATTGGCCATCATCCAGTCTTCATCTTCGACCATCCCCAACACTCGTTATCCACTTTGTGGCTTGCTCAACGCTCAATCGCTGCACTTCGAGGTTCTGTTCGTCCCAAGAACGACACTCCCGGCAGACATTAATTAAGCCTGCTGGCTGCAGACGCAGAAACCAGCCTCCCTTCTTTCCCTGCCCCGGTCGCAGACGACCAAGCGCAAACCGCCGCACAGGCTGTGGCCAGGAGAACCACCATCCGCAAGTTCGCACCAACAAGCACCGCAGACGCAGGGCAAACGCGCCCTACCCAAGACGAGATAGCGAGCACGAAGCTTCTGCACGCACATCCAGCTTCGGCAGCATCGTCTGGTTTCTTGTCTCACTGCCCCACAAACCGAGCGGCCTGATCGTCTCGACCGTCTCTCTGTGAGTCTCTTTGAGGCTTGCCATTGTCTATCCGGACTCCCAGTCTGCTTTGTTCATTCGACTGTCGTCTCGTCCGTTGCATCAGCCCGTCTACGATTGAGCCCTGCTAGTCGTGGCTTGAGCTTTTCGTTCGCGGCATCTGCTACATCCTCTGCGTCGTCCGACACCCAAGAAAGACCAGTCGTCTCGTTGGTGTTATTGAGTTCTCCGTCACCAAGCATACCTACTACGGTGACCTGCATCGGCTGCTTGTCTTGGCCAACCCAATACCTAGTCCGGCGCGCTTCCCAGACTTCACGCGCGGCGTACCTTGCTTTGCAGCTGGCGAACGAACGAATCGACCAACGGGAGCCCGATGCTATTGCTTTGCTTTGCTTCCATCGCTCCTTTCGGACTCTGCACCCTCGTCGTTCGCTGCTCCATCATTCGCCGTACCTGCACTCCTGTCGTGTCCATCGAATAGCTACACCAAACGAACGACACAGTGTATCTGGAGTACATACGACTACTGCAGTCGCCAAACCCCATTTCATACGCCGCCACCCATTTCGCTCAAACTTCAAAGTAGCTTCTTCTCCAGGATTCCTTGCGAAGAAGAGAGATCGAGTTTGGACAACTTACAAGCCACGACTTCAACCGGGCCCAGTCCCAGTGGCAGACGGGGCAGGCGATCCTCAGTCTCCTCCTTCAACAAGGCGCTTCCTACCTTGCGCATCTCACCGCACATTGCATCCTCAGGGTCTCTCGGCGCAAAACGAGACTACGCTCACCCTAGACTCCACTCTGCCACATGCGCTGGCGAGCTTCTGGACCTGTCTCGAGCCGCTACTGGTGTGTCCGTCAGTCACAAACGCTCCACTGTCACTCGCCTTGGACGGCTTGACTAGGTTCCCTTGGGTTTAGCCTAGGTGGGGGATTCTAGCGTGCTCAACCGCTGTGCGACTGCAACCCGTGGACCTTGGACGCCCTCCCCCGGTCACCACGCTCTGCTGCTGCACCGACTGCAACTGCAGGACTGCACGGGGGTTCAAGCGAGCAGTGTGTGAAGTTTGGTTCACCTCAACTTTGGCTTGGTGAGGTACTTTTCGGTGTTCGAGGGCCTGTGGACCTTTTTCACTGCAACCCTCAGGCACGAGCACAGGCTCAGGCGCAGGCACAGGTCTCTTCCCATTCGTACCTATCCTGCCAGGACCAGAGGTGTTCTCTGTTCTCCCGCCCTGTCCCGGCTCCTCGAGCAAGGTTCGCGCCACCCGCTCTTTCTTCTCCACCCCGCCCACCATCGCTGGACCTTGCCATACATACCACACCGGTCCGCCTCAGCCCAAGCCTGTCCGAACTTCCTCCTCCCACCTTTCTCTTCAACCACAGTCGTTCCTTTTCGCAAACACCAGCCGTCCTCCGGTGGTGGGGGTTGCGCGCTTTCGATTTTCCCCCGATAAGCCCATACCTAATCACGAGCCATTCACCAGTAAACAAGACGAAGAATTATTACGTCCGTCTGGCTCGTCGCGACGACCTATTTCCTTGACCCTACCTATCTACAGTATTGCGACGACGATTCCCGGACGTCCAGACGATCCATCCACGAATATCATAACACGAAGCGACACTTGCGACGACATTTACCACGATTACCAAGACAACGTTTTCTTTTTCTCTATTCCATTCGACCAATGTTTTGACGAGAAAGCGGTGTTGAATCGCACGATCCTCGAATCCAGCCGAGGCCGTCGCATACCTGATTGCAATTGACTGAGCGCTCCATACCAGCTACAGGATCTACATTGGTTGAGCAGTACACGACCTAGGTAGTGTGTTGGACATATTTTGTGTTGCACACTAAATATCGCGCCCATTCTGTGCGACAGCCGTTGAGGTCAATCAAAGCCCTTTGAGGCTCAGGGACGTTACCACGCGCTCAAATACCACTTTATCTCAAATTTGCCACCACAAGAACAATTGGAGGACCACGTCGCCTTTGTTCTCGGAGAGACGTTCACCAAACGGCTTAGAAATCGCGAGGCCTACCTGCCGCCAGCATTTTTCCAAGAGGTCGCGACATTCCTCGCCTCCTTAACTCCGCTAACATGAACCCTCAACATTCCGGAGCGGCGACACTGCCCAAAGGCTTTCGTTTCCATGACCCGGATCAGCAAAACCCCAAAACACCGGAGCCTTCCGCTATGGACGAGGAGCTTCAGCCTCCATCGCCGCCGCGTCCGCGATTGAGACTGAAAAGGCGCGTCGCATCCAACTTGAACGCTCCAACGACGCACTTCCTCGCGTCAGTTGCTGCCGCCGACGTTCCGATTCCCAGCATCGAAGAGCCCGAGTCGGCTGGGCCGGACACGCAAACACGATTTTCCAGCATGACGTACCCGGTTATTCACAATCTCAATGACTTGAACGAGCTCGCCTTACATAAACTTCGCGGAAGGCGTTTTTCTCCACCCAAGACGCCAGCACCTGGCGCCGCTCCCTCACTATCCCCTAGACGGTATCCAAACTGGTCCATCGACTCTGCCTTCAGTAGCGGCGAGTCTACCCCGGAGTGCGAGTCCAGCCGGCCATCTACCGCACGGTCCACGCAAACCAGCGCTTCCCTCTTCAGTCGCTTCTCCCTAGCATCAGAAGACCTGCAGTGCATCAGCCCAGAGACTGACGCGTCGGATCACGTCAAACACTCATTCTTCGACGCAGTTGAAGAACCTACCGAACCCTCATCCAAACCAAAGGCAAAGAGGAGAAAGGCCCCGTGGACGAAGGCAATGAGTGACCACCTCTGGGCTACCTACCTTACTTATTTACAGGACCCCAAGGTCACGCCGTTCCGTACCGCTAAAAGTGGCGTGCCGCCTCACGGGGTTTGTCTTCGCGTTGCGAGGGAAGCGAAGCGAAGCTGGAGAGGCCCCAAGGGGGGAAGAAAGTCTCTCAACCCCAAGAGCGGAAGCAGCACTCCTACTATCGAGACCTGCACCTTTCTCCAGTGGCCGCACACTTGCGCTTCCACCCGAGCTCACTTGAGAGATTTGTGTAAGCTCAAAGCCGCTTCATCATCGGCCCGCACCAGCAAGTTCCTCGCCAACAGCCCGACACCTTTCGGCAGAACGGCGGCGCGTTTCTGGAACCGAAGATCCACACCGGCCCGTTCCCCGTCCGTCTTCTCAGCTCACGATATGTCCATGTCGCTTACTCTGAGCACTTCAGAAGCCATGCAACCACTGGGTCCTCTGGCGCAACTTACCAAGTCGGAACCCGAACCTCCTGCTCAAGAATCAATGACTGAGCCGTTCCCACTATTCCCCATGGAGTTTTCTAAGGTGGATGCTCCTCTCGAAGACCGCCCACGACTGGGGACACCTTTCATGGCCAACAGCTACGGGCCCAGCTCAACTGGTGCGCTGGCTGCTGCTGTCTCTTCAGTACCTCAAAGACAGAACCAAAGTCTTGGCCACAGGCGCACGTTGCAGTCGCCGGCGCGTCTGACCAGAAGTCGATCGAACACGCAAAAGCGAGTTGGACGACCCAGACAAGCATCTCATGAACCGCGCAAGACCAAACGACCTAGTCTCGTTTCCGACCTCTGGACTGAGCCGATGCCTTCTGAGACCCTACCCAAGACACCGGTTAAACCAGAAGTCGAATTTAGTTCCACGGATAGGAACTCACACGACGACCTTTTTGTACCTCGTACAAGTCTCAGTGGGCTCTTCACAGCCCCAATGCAGATACCTGCGTCCAGGCTTCCCAACCTGCCTGATCCCTTTTTGGCTGCGCCAACCGCACCTCCTGCGAGGCTCGGATCACCGTTCCCTGGAACCAAGACTAGCTTTTCTTTCCCGAATCGTTTCACACAGCCAGAAGAGTTTGATCATGACACTATTCGCCCGTTTGCCACGATCCAGCAACAAGCCAGCGGGGATGGTGGCTCTGCTCCTCCTCGTAAGCTGGCTGACCGCTTGGCTTACATTGACGAACGCCTTCGCAACTTTAGACGCCGAGACAGCAATCGCCGCCGGTCTGAATCACCTTTCTAGTGAAACATTTTCTTTGTACATGTTGCTACGCCCGTTACTCTCACGACTTATGAGTCCATGCGAGTTATCTGCTCGATACCCCTGTGGAGATACTCCTGCAAGGACATACCCTTCGACTGGTACATAGACGACAGCACGCTTTGATGATGGCCCCGATATTTCCTTACTTCACTTCTTACGGACACATTTGCTTCACATATCGAGAGGAAGATACCCTTCCTGGCTTGGAGGACTACTTAATGGCCACTTTGCTTGAGATGGTTTGCGATGTGGATGACATCTCCTTTGTCTTTGTTCACAGCTGTCGGTTCTCCGCAGCCCGGCTTCTTATTGACGATGGACATGATGAAACGACATTCGGCAAGGACGTCGGATATTTTATGTACGTATTGACGACCGGGCCTCGTATGGGGTTCCGGGGCGTTGCTTGGGTGAGAAACTCACTTCGAAGATGAGGCATTCAATTGGAACAGAAAAGTAAAAAAAAAAAAAACTCGGTGAAGAGGAAGACAAAATAGTCGTTTCTAGACAAATGGATGTGAGGCATTACTCTCTTTCCACAGTATTGCGCCTGACGTCAGGTGACGCGAGTTCTTACCGAAGCTGCCTTGCTTTTTGACGTATCTTTGATTGATGATCTCGAATAGCTTCCCATACGACATGGAGACGTTTTCGAAACTGACCCTATGCGGGGGAGGCGGGGGAAATACGAGATGTCTTGTCCCTCACCTCGAGCCAAGACGCCAGAGGAGTGATGGATTGACGCTATGTGAAGTGGGCGACGCCCCTGGAGTGACTGAAAGCAGCCAGACATTTTGACGAACGCAATGTTGGATCCGTAAGAAGTCCATTGCGCTGTTTGGCTGTCTGAAGGACTGGAGGGTGGAGATATTCTTGGCCTCTATACCTTGTGATTTGAAGACAGTAGAGAATGAGTTCAGAAGTAGAGGGAGGAGGGAGACAAGCGATGGACGGAATGGTGTCTGTTGCCTTGCAATTTGATGAGGAGGTTTGTTGGTGAGAGGAAACGGACATCATGACTGGCGGGGTGGAAGGATTTTGGCCAAAGTTTCGAGAATGCTTCTCGGGGCCGAATTATCCAGCCGAGATTCACGTGCCGTTCGTGTCTGGGCGGTACCTGGAGCATGCGTGAGTCGGGGAATGTGCGTTCGGATTGAGGTACGGGATATGGTGCGGGTGCTCGGTGATGAGATGCCGATGTTTCGTTTCAAGGGGGGCTTGATGATACATACTGGGCCGATTTCCGAAGGTATCGTGAGAGGCACTCACTCGATTGGAGGAGATTTGATATTGGGACGCGAACTAGGAGCTGTACATGAAATTTGATATCGGACTCTTGTGAGATTTCGATGGTCGGTTGAGGAATGTGGATTGAGAAACGGTGTGGTTCTACACGAGGAAGAGGATGGTCATTTGCGTTCCTTCAATGTCGGGGATTGACCATGGCACATCTTGCAAAGGAGAAGGTGCTTGCTTCACTGCGTCTCGGCCGGGTGTCCCGTGCTGGAATTCCCCAATGGTTCATCGTGAGAGCTGCCCAGTCCCCTGCGTGCTTTAGGCATGTCCCGGCGTCCCGATGTCCCGGGGAATGTGAAAGGGAAACGAGTGCATTCGGATCTCCGGCGAGCCTTTATTTTCCTTGGATACTTTTCAACGAGTCTCTCTTACCTTTGGGGGTTTTCGAGGCTATGCCTTGCAGAAAGCCTGCGTTGGTCGCGGAAAATCTGGTGGCAATCATCTCATCGCCTTCGCTTTCGCATTTGGAAAAAGTAGTGTCTTCCCCTCCCTCGTGGAGGAAAGTTGTTGGAATGTCGGTAAACTTTGAAAGGGCCGTTCCTATAGCTCCTCCACGTGTTCGGGCTGGCTGTGTGGCTGCCTCCAAAGGCCTCCTCCCCCTTCGTCTCGGCTTGCTTCAATAAGGCCCTTGGTTTCATTTCGTACAATCCTGGGCTGGAGGAATTTCGTAGGAACGAGGGAGTGCGCTCTGGAGATACTCATGTAATGATATTGCTGCTCATTATTAACATGGCCGCAGTCTGTGGCAGATGAAGAATTTGAACCACTACTTTCAGAGGTCGTAAGTGTACCGAGTGGAAAGGAATACACCGCCTGCGCTTACAATGCGGGACCCGAACGATCCGGACTATGCGAGCGCCCCGGCGTCCGAGGCTCGGGTCCCAAATGGTCCTGACGGCCCAAGTACCCTCCGACATTTTGCTACTCCTTTTAAGAGCTCCAAGGTATCTATCTGCAGTGCCCCGCGCGCGCGCGCGCGTCCAAACACGCCTGACAAACGTCTTCAATGGGAAATGGCGTCGGTGATGGGATACCTCCCCCTCTCATAGGCTTTTAAGCTTCGAGACAGACAGGTCCGCCAGGCTGGCATTGGCAGCTCCGGGGGAACAAGAAGAAACGCACCGTCTTGGGCGCTAGCTCACACGCACCGGCGACGGACTCGATCCTCGCTCGTGAAATGTGTAAATGAGCGATGGTATGCTTTTCTCAGAGCACGGCTTGCTTCTTTTGGCCCCAGTTGCTTAAGTTGTGTTTGCTCGATCTGTCCATTTGGTCACTTGGCCGCCACGATCAAGTCAAGGATGTGATTATTACGTGCTGCCTGGTCTTGAGAGATGGTCAGAGAGCGCGCTAGAGCTCTTCCTCTTTCCCCAGACTTTGCATTGGCACATGATGTCGAGATCTGCAGAGCTTTAGTGTCATGGTTTGATGTACCCAGCCAACTAGCCGCACGCGTGAGACTAACTGAGAGCTGCATGATTTCTACTCTTCTCGCTAAATTCTGACAGGGCAGATCACTGCATTGCTTATTGGATCCCCAAAGATGCTTTCGTCGGGCGGGTTTACATGCCGTCTGTCTCTCTCGATCGGTGCCAGCGTCACAATGTCCCGGCCGCAGCCAGACGGATCTCTTGCAAGAGACTGCGCCGCTTCTCCAATTCACACTTTCCATGCTCAAGTCCTTTTCTTGACTCCACTCCCCGGATGCCACCGGAGAGGCCCAGCAACGTTGTCCTCCAAGTGGTACGCCCGGCTTTGGTGCTGCTGACGGCGGCGGCGTGGACCACGCGAGGAGGCAGAGGATTGGGGAACGGAAGACGGACATATCGGCCGGTGACTAGGTATGCAGTGCGTTCATACCGGCAACAATGGACTTTGTCTCTCTTCCGATCCCCTGTTGCTACCTGACGGATCTCCCTGGGTTTGGATCGAGTCGCGGCTCGGCGCAGCAGTCGGGCGAAGAGAAAGATGTCATTGGCGTTCCGAGACTATGTTCCGTCGCGCATCTGTCTGGCCTGTCTGCTACTTGCTCTTCCTTCATCCAATCCAAAGACTTGCATTATCCGAGGCCTACTCCGGAATGGAAGAGTCGCGCTTTAAAACAGGACGTTAGACTGGCGGGGCTAACATTCCGAACCACTCAGGCGCAAACGCTCCCTAGCACTTGCGCATGCGCTGGTTCCATAGAATGCTGGCCGATGAGGTAACCTAGCCTCCAAGATATCCCGTCGTAAACATCGCGGTGTCAAACATTCTTGTACCCAAAATCTCACGACCTTTTGGACACAACACCCAATTCTTAAGAATACCCGCCTTCAAACGAGGGGCATAATTGGGACATGGGCCGGAAGAGAGACGGGGGGCTTCAGGTCCAGGGAATACGAAAATAAAATGATCTCCGTGCTATTTTAGCTCGGGATTCCCACAACTCTCTCTGCCTGTCCACTCTGACATGGAATGAAGGAATCCGCCATCCCGCGTAAACTACCCTAACTCCAAGGGCTAAAGAAGTGAAGAAGAAAGATCGTCCCTACTTTCGCACGCTATGCTCGTATTTACCGCTGAGAAATGCCCACCGTCTAGCCCCATAAGGCCAACGAAAAGCTCATTTCCCAATGCCCGAAAAAGGCCTCCCAAAAAGTTGGGGAAGACCTCTTTCTACGGATGGATACTAGGGCCTTTTCAGCTAGGTAAGGGGACTCTGCGTTTGCAAGCGAACCAGCGTCCGTTCAGATCCAGGCAATTTCGCAGAATAAGGTGAATCCATACGGCACGCGACGTAAGTTCCCAACTTGGGCGGTCCTATCTTCGTCCGGACGGAAAGCCTCTGCGCCGGCGGAGGACGATGGGGGATGAGAGAGGAGAGACGTGAAGGGCCCGGCGGGTCAATGTACGCAGACGGCCGACGGAGACAGGGGACTAGCGCAAGCGCATCTTCTCCGTTCGTCAAAGTGCTTACTGCGTGAGGAGCCGACTGATCTGCCAGACATTGCGATGCGTCTTCCAGTCTTGATAATTCAATTGACGCTGTGAAACTTCCCCCGATAGATTTGTTGTAAATGGTTCATGCATCAACACGTCTGTAGCCCTTGTCGAGTGCTTAAGAGGATGGGCGCACCCAAGATCCCCGACCCCAGGAGGATGGGAAGACGTGTGGGTTCATCCAACCTACAGCTCGGGTCTGTCGCGTGCGCGCAACCCGGCGCGCGCGTGTAAGTGCGCCGTCCGCGCATGCAAGCCAGAACCCTGCGCTGACAGTCACCCAGTCCCGAGGGAAACACAAAAAGGGAAACGAACGTAGGGGCAGGGAGGACGGGTAGGATCCGTCATGACGGTATTGACCCGGCGAAAGCCAAGACTCTCTCTCCCCAAGAAAAGATATCCCACGAGCTACCCTAATTTGGCACCTTAATTCAAATTCAGGCTCTGCCCTTGTCTGCACGCGTCGAAGCTGGGATTAGGGGCTGATGGGGGGCCCTGGAGCTTTCGCTGCGCAAAAGGAACAAGAAGACGATTTTCTTGGCTCGGAATGGCTCCAGGGCTGAGCCTCTCTCTGTGTCTTCCTAATTCCTGTGTTCCTCTCGTGCTGCTTTCTCCTTCGATCGTCAGTCAGCCTAGCTTTTTGGTCATCCCTTGCCTGATAATGTAGCATTCATCCGGGGGTGATTCAAGGTACCCATAAATGCACCACCGCATCCGTCGACAGGTTTATCTCTTCCGGTACGACGACCAATATGTATTCAAGTTCCTGTATCGAATACAAAGTCGTCCAATGTCTGTCAGAGACATTTCATAGTCCCACCGGTGTAAAACCAAAACCAAAACCAAACCAAACACTGGCAGTAATACCACGAACCTTCCACGAACTTGACACAACCCGTGGTCCGAACGAGCCAAAAACCTTGTCCTAAACAGGAAAATTGAGAACAAGAAACTGGAAACGGCCAGCACCGAGCAAGCTGGGTGTGAATCCGAAGAAACCACTCTATCCGTACAGCTCCAATCCCGGCAGGTAACAATCGCGGGCTAATACCTAGGTAATACCTCTCGATCCAAAGGTCTGCCTTACACCGCACTAAAACAAAAAGTGTCGTCTGCCTAAAAAGCTGTGCACCCGCGCCTCTCCGTCCCCCGACTCCCCCGGGCACCCCCTTGCTCGCCGGGCCTTAACATTCTGACATTGTACCGCAATAAGGTCAGTCCAATGTCACTTTTTCCCTGGGCTCTTTGCCCCATGCCCCCTCCCCTCCGTGGCACGAACCGAACCACGCCTCGTTCGTTTCTTTCCTACTTAGGTAAGGGATATCGAACACAAATGTTCCGGGAACGGGGGGAATTCACTAGGTATTCAGTAATCCCATCATCATCTGCATCATCGCCCCTTGCGTACCTTACAGAAAGAAAATAAGGAAGGAGGGGGGTCATCGGGGGTTAGGAAGGGGGGGAAACTGCAAGGGATGCTGATGACGGACGGTGGAACCTGAGCTTGCGCCTGGGAGGTACGGGAACCAAAACAGGGGATACACAGCAAAGGAGACAGACATGCGGATACAAGAGATAGAAACACAATCGAAAGCAAAGTCGCTAAAACTCGCTCTACCAGCGTCAGCGCCGTCGCGGGGGAAGCACCAAAACGCAAACCAAAGAGAAGCCCAAAGCGGCGCCAGACCCGGGTGTCACAAGCCCGCTCGGGAATTGGGGGGGGGGGGGGGAAGGGGGAAGAGAAACGTATAATACCTCGCTAACTTGGACACTTTAAACACCGTAGAGTCCAGTGTGTACGGAGTACTTCGTACCTCAGAGGTCTGATGACCCGGACAAGCAGAAAAACAAGAGCGAGACCAAGCTTTTTTGCAACCAGAGGGTTCTGAGCAGCACCAAAAAGCTTCCCTTTCTACCTAACCCCTGTACCACACCACCACCACCACCACCACCACCAAGAACGCCCGGCTGCCTACATGGTACCTAACCCAGATCAGAGCACAAAAGTCAAAGTCGGGATTGGGTACGTCCAGAGTATAATATCGTGTCAGACCGCACCACCCGTTCCCCTCCTTCCCCTTCCTCCCGTCCTTTTGAACCTGAATCTTGGCTTTATTCTTATCCTTCTCGTCATCCTCTTGAACTGCTCTTGTGCTCCCTTCCATAACACGACATAACGACGACGACGGTTGTGTTTCCACTGGTGCTCGGATAGTGTGTACTCGACTTACATCCCACCTCCACGGATAACCTGGATCCCTTCCTCAGATCACCGCCGATCATCCAACCAACCGATACTCTCTCACCTACTCGGTACACCGGTTTAACTTTCTATTACCGGCTCGTCGGAAACAGTCACAGCTTAAAATAGGGAATCGAAAGAAGAAAAAAAGTCCAGCAAAAAGACATCTAGTGTCTTCTTTTTATTTGGAAAAAAGTAATCCAGGATATTCATCCCCCCCTACTGGGTAGTTGAATATGTACATTCAAAAAAATATGGCTCGTCCCAGCATCATCGTCTCCATGCTTGTCCTCTCGCTCTCCGGAACCGCGTTCGGCAGACCGAGCTTCTTCGGCAAACAGCAACAACACGACGCAATGACGGATTGCGCGCGCGTCGATGCCCCGACCTCCTTGACCTGGCTTTTGCAAGATCAACCCTTCGAACAGGAGGATCCGTCCGCCTTTTTCTACGTCAACCAAGATATTGACGCGTCAGGTAGGACTTCTTCTTTTTTTGGTGCTTTTTTTGAAATTTCTTGTCTTTTTTGGGTTGGCAACTATGCCTCTCTGGTGTATAGTTTCCCTGACAAAGGAGATTCTCAATGAATGAATGAATGTACTCAAACGGTTCTCTTTTATAGGAAACAAGGCGAACAGAGTCGCACAACTCGTCACCTTTGGCGGCGTCCAGGGACAACAGGAATCGACAGAGTGCCGCCTCCTCTTCACCATGCCCGAGGACTCGGAGAGCTGGGAGCTGATCCAGCGCGAGGGCGCCACCACGATGCGCGTCTTCCGCGTCCCCAGCTACGAAGGGGACGATTCCGTACGACAGAAGCAGAATCTTCTGGGCACCGTCCTGGTCAAGCCTGGAACGCAGTCCATCGACCTCGGCCAGTGCGACGGCAGCGGTAGTTTCGTTTTCGAGCTTGCCGACGCGGGACGCAGTCGCGTCGCTTTCCGCCAGGCATCGAAGCCGAAAGACGGCTTTGGGGTCTTCATGGCTCATGGATGCCCGGTCCCTAGAAGGACCGAGTCCGAGGACTTGTGAAGAGGAAGAGGTGATTTCGAATGACGAGTTGAAGAATTAGAATTTTGGTGTGTGTCTTTGATGAGTTTGGTTTTCCGCCGAACTAGACGGGCACCCTCCACCCGTGGAGGTTGGCGATGTTCACGGTCCCTCTAAAACACCTGCGCGGTGTAAGGCATCCGTTCTCGGCGGAAAGGTGGTTGTGGTATCCGCATGTCGCGACGGGAATGGCCACGGCTTGGTTCTGGGGCGACCTCCATCACCAACGGCACAAGTAGAAAGTTATCCAGCTCCCTGCTGGCCGTGGTGTGAGGACATCTACGCTCGCCGACGGCAGCCCGATGGCTGTGGAACGAACATTGCCGGAAACCGAACTGGCGCTCTTCGTTACGAAGCTTATTAGCCGGGATGCGCAGTTGAGGGTTCTTGATGCGTGTGTCCAGCTTGCTCGACTTCATCTTGCGCAGGTGCGAGGTGAACTCGGTTGCGAAGTCGGGAAAGCGCTCAAACATTTCCTGAAACCTTTCGAGCCCGCCATCGTCCTTCACGATCGATGACGAACCTCCAGCAACGGACCAGGCCACCATCGCTACGGTCCACCTCCGAATTCGCATCGAAGACTCGGCATCGCACTGGCCGTAAACGTATTGGACGAAGCGAGGTGTGACATCCCAGTCGCAGCGGAGGTAGATGTCTTGCAAGGCATCAATCGCAAGATCTTGCAGGTGATGCAGATCGAGCCGAGCAGCGAAGATGTGAAGGCGAACCAGAGCCCAGTGAAGTCGTTGGCACGGTACGCCAGGGGCATCACTGACGAGAGTGATCATCTCGTCGAGGTGTCTGCGGAAGCCGTCTCTTTGATGCAGCCAAACTACGAAGAGCTCGAACATGGAGGCGGATTCGTTGGGAAGGCGGATAGTCGACTTTTGTTGCGGTAACCATACCGGCACTGGTGTCTGGTTCGGCGTCACCTTGACGCCGGCTGGTGTAGCGTCCAGCTGATCCTCGAAGAAAGGGGCAGCGTTGCTGAGCTTCTGCTTGTTGATACGGAACTCCTTCATCTTCTCGCCTCGACCGACGAATACGCGCGCTAGGTTATCATCTTCGTGTGATGATCTGTGAAAGAGAAGATTAGATCAGGTTGAGGGACATTGACGTATTGCAGGAGACGTACATATTAGACGCTGATGGTCTGTGGAAGATGCCCTGTGGTCTAGTCATGGGTGCCATTGTGAAGATAGTGTTCCAGCACTTGGTATAAGAGCCAGCTCTGGATGAGAAAGTAAAGTAGATGAAAGTACTAAAGAATTTGAAGAATCCAGAAAACCCAGAGCACACGAATAATGAAAGGCCGTTGACTTCGTTTGTTACTTTCACTCTCCCAGAGAGCTTGAGAAGAGAAAAGAGAGAGCACACCAGAACTAGTCCTAGATGGATCTGAGGACGCTCTTCATTATCAATTGCTCCAAGTCTGGATGCAACTTTGGCAGGGTAGAGGCGCCGCAGATATGGGGAACTACACGGTCACACACGAGCTTCCCTAACACCATGGCCCCTGTGTCGTCTGCCAAGTGCAGTGTATGAATAAGCTTATACGTGATAATCGATGTTAAGCCAGTTTCAGAAAGGAGGGTATAAGGGTGTGGCTGGCTTGGTGCTCAGCCGGGGCTTTGCTGGGGCTTGTCGGGAGTTGCTGGGACTCTTGCTGCATCCTCAGCTTAACAGAACGCTGATATGGGGCAGCGATTCACGTCAAAGACGAGATGATGCTGCTTGGGATGGTAGGGGTGTTGGTTTCAAACGTCATTGTCAAACGCACTGAGTGCATTGGTGTGGGAGTCGTGCCGCGCGAAGTGCTCCCTCAACTGCCTCAGGCGACAGGGTTGTTGGCTGTGTTCTCGTGGGACACGGCTGTAGCGGAAGCTTGGGGCATCTTAGCCGTGGCTGATATAGGACCGGGGTGCGGTGCTTGGATGCAGTTCTTGACGTTCCCGCCGAGCCCTGTCATGAACTGTCTCGTCTGTGCAGGCGATCTCCTGCTCCCACCTGGTTCGGAGTTGCAATCAAAGGTTTGGCGAGATTTTTTTTTGGTAAGTCAAGGTGCTCGATAATCTCTCAATCTACCCTCAGACAGTGCAACGATGGTTTCTTGATCTCCTATTTCTGGTGGCGTCGTCCTTTTTTTATATACACGGCAAAAAAAGGCAGTTCAACTGATGCCTTGGGATGAGCGTCTTGTGTCGGATGAAAACATGAGGCGTCTTGAATCGTCGTTTCCTTGTCGGTTGTGGCCAGTAAACAAGCTAGACAAGCCCACAAGAAGGATCATGCTTCGGTGCCACCCACTATCCCGGACTGTCGCGCGGGGAATACTCGCTCTGGCAGGCTCATCGCGATTGCTTAAACCTGTTGAACTCGGCTAGTGATCATGGCTGAAGGCATCGCCAGCCAGCGTCATTGCGAAGGGGGACACTTCAATGCTCTAAAGCACTAGCTCTCGTAGCTGGCATTGACGGCATTCCAAGCTCGAGGAATCAAAAGATGACTGCGCCGCCGCGTTGTTGCATTCCAAGACCCAAGTGTCCGTCTGATGCTGCTTGGATCGTCGAGGCAGTGCAACGCGGGCGGGAAAATCCTGCTGCTCATGGAGGAGAAAGACGGGATGCTAAGGTCCGGGCACCTATATCGCTACCATGGGACGTTTGGTTTCAGTCGTGGAGTTGAGAGTCTGGAAGAGGTTATGGAAAAAGTGAAGGCCCGTATAATACGAGGTGCAGAGTCGGAGACTTGAAACTGGGTCTCGGCCGGATTCGACGCTAGGCGACCCGCGAAAAAGAGTCTAAAAAGTCTCCTTGAGCCCGCTGCCCTTGGTAAGGGGGCCAAGGAGGCTTGCTTGGTCGAGCACAGGGCATATTGTGGCCGGGCCGGGCGGCAGCGTTGGAGGCGGTGCCCATTGAAAAGCCCGGTCATTCTCAACCTGCAATATCGGCGCGTGCTGGCTCCGATGTACGGGTATGGAGAGGTGGGGTTGGCGGTAGGGGTTTGAGAACTCGAGATTCGAGAATGAGACCCCGACCCGTAACAAGAGGAAGAACCGGGAGCCAGGGTTGTTTGCTGGGAAGGTTTTGCGCGGATTTTTCTGCGTGCTCCATGCTTCCAGTCTCCTACTCCAGTGTGCTCCAACCTGCTCCAGTGAAAAGAGTCTATTGTGTAGAGGCAGGCCGTAGAC